AGTGAAGCATCGGGCTGCTGTGGGCATGCTGCAGCAGACATGTCGCACCATGACCAGGTCCCATGTAATGTGGCCATAAGGCTCAAGGACTAAAGCAGTGCCCTTACAAGAAAGAGAATATACCAGGGACCTTCTCAGAATAATCTGAAGTAGCCTACTTTTGTAACACTTCTATAGGCTTAGTTATTTCATTCATTTAAAAATGAAAATATTATTTTTTGAACTATGAAGCCTTCTGTTAAATAAATATATATATATATTTTCATATCATGATAATTTGATGAATCTGAAAATGTTTTCACAGACCACCTGGCAAAGTACTGCGAATCACTGATCTAAACGTTAAACTACATAAAAAGTATATATTCATGTGAATCAAAGATGAAGAGCAAGATTTTTTTGTTAAACCCTAAATGTTGCCATATTTATTTTCCGTGATAAATACCTTGACTTCCTCTTCATATTGGAATCTTCGTTTACTGACGATGACATCCTCGATTCCCCTCCGGTCTCCAAACTTCTTCTCAAACATTGTGTAGAACTTGAAGAGCTCCTGTGCCTGGTGTTTAGGGATTCTGTCCAAGGCATACTTATAGATCACCCGCACACGTTCAAACTGTAAAAGAAGGGGCACAAAACACAATGTCAAGCTAGCACCACAATCTACGGACAGGGATACAAACATTTTTACTAACTCTCTGGTAGTACTGTCAAGATATAGGAATTTATAACTCCAATACAATACCTTGAAAAATACCGATATTCAATGCCATTTTTGATACCCCTGAGAATATTGTCATATCAAAATATAAATGTAACAAGGCTATATTTTGACAACGAAAACTCTTTTCTTGGTTACTGAACAGCAAAATGACCATAGTAAACATTAACAATAAGAGAGCGCGAGAAAGTGAAGCTGGTACCTGTGTACTGATACTGCTGACAATTAGTATTAAAAGGGTTTTAAATATTCTGACCACTTCTCTCCAGCTTAACAAGAAACCAAATGACTGAGGCTCTAATTTGAAATGATTTAATCTGTTACAGGTTGGTTTTGTACTGTCCTTGGCTGCACAAACCTCTTTCTGTGTCTCCTCAAACTTGGCAAAGGCCACAAAGAGGTTTTCGTCCACATGTTCCTCTCCAAAGAACTCCACCGCCCTCTCGTACACCTTCCTGCTGTGAGCGATGTAGCCATGCTTCTCCTCAAAGCGAGCATACTTGATCCAGTTCTTCACTTCAGGGTGAACGATGACGAGTGCAGTGGAGTTAAGGAGGTTTCACACAAGTAACATAACAAAACACAAGAACTGTCACATAAACCACTGTGCACTGGCTTATTGCCACAGCCTCCTCTCGGTGGATTAATCCTCAGAACACAAAACATAAAAATACCAACAAAAGGATATATCGCTCATAAATGGTGCGGGCTTTGTCCACTTCCTTGTAGCGCAGCTCAAAGTTGATGTAGGAGTGCCAGGCCTGCTCATCAGGCTCCCATTCCATCCAACGCTCAAACGCCTGCCTGCAGCCGGCAACGTTCCCTAGCATCTCCTCCATGTAGGTGTACTTGTACCTTTTGTAAGACAAAAAAAAAATATATTATTTTTGGATAGCCATGTAAAAACAGCGGAACTTTATGCCAGGTACACACTACACAAATCAGACCAATTCTAACCCGACGCAGCGATGTACAGTGTTGGCTCGGATCGTGAACGACAATGAGTGTCGTACACGATAATCTATCGTTTCATCTCTTGTAGTGTATCATAGTAGAGGACGTTCCAACAGAAAGTCTAGCATGTTTCATTTTCTCTTTTGTTGTTCACGACTGCTCTCGTCACAGCTGTCGCTTTGACCAATAGGAACACAAGTACAATCTGTTGCCATAGACAACTGTACGTTAACACCCTAGCCTTTTTGATATTTTCTCTAGGGATGTTACCACACAGAGTAAAAAGGGAAAAATTATGGTGTGAAACAGCAGAGGCACTTTATCAACCCAGAGAGTACTGCCATTAGCATCAAGCTAGCAAAGAATGTTACCTCTTCATAATGGGGACTGACATAAAGTAAATAAATTAAAAAATAGTGGCTTTTATGTTCAACTGCAGAGGCTACCAGCTTCATTTGAAACAGACTACTTTCTCAATGGGCAGCTATTTATTATTTCCTCGATATTTTATATTTTTACTTCCTGTATCTGTTTCAAATTAAAAGCCCATTATAATTTTGGTTGAGAGAATCCCTTCATTTTCTAAATAGGCTTTAATTGTGAAACATTTGCAGGAACTTGTGGAGGATTCAGTGACTTGTATGTTTGTGTACGGTACTTCAAATGTAGCTCCTGACATCTGGTGGCACTTTTTACAACAGTAACATTTCGGCTGGCACATGAACAGACACAGTGACTGAAATAATAGTAATAATAATAGTAATAATAGTGTATCATGTCTGTCAGCCAAGTCACAATCGCCTAATGTGACATAGTTACTGTCAGAACTGACAGAAATGTTGTGTAGTGTGAACCAGGCATTACAGTCACATCAGGTATGAAGCTTTTCCAAGTTTTCCAAAGTGTTTTTTTCCTGTAATGTTAGCAGCTAATCACCGGTTTCCTAGCAACGCATACCAATTAAAGAATGAGAGGATACCTGGCTTTACACAGTGGCTCACCAAAATCCTACTTCCAAATATTATTAGTTTTGTTTGCTCCTTCATGAAATACATTCCACACCCAAATGCCATTCTTACCAGAACTGGTTGACTCGTGGGAGGATTGTGATGGCTCTGTCCCAGATGTTTCTGGCGTGGTTCACCTGCCGGCTCTTCATCTCCATCTCGGCATACTTCAGCCACAGAGTGATGTTGCGGTGATCGACATCCAGCGCTCGCTCGTAAATGGAACGAGCCCTGAAACCAGAGGAAGCAGCAATAAGAGCAAACTAAATGGCAGAGACATCTGGGATTGTTGAAGGAAAATTAGGTTCACGGCTACAGGGCACAATACCTCTGGATCTCCTTCAGGCTTTCCTCCCATTGTGCGTATTTGATCCAGTTACTGATGACAGTGCGATTCTTTCTGATGTTGTCCTCAAACCCCTGAATGAAAAGCAGGCAATGGTTTGACAAGAAGTCAAAAAACTATTAAGTTGTCGGATAATCTTTTTCAGGGTGGTGCTTTTGTTCCTGTTACATTATGGTTTACTCATGTTTCATTAAAGCCATAACTTATGTTTGAGCAAAAATAGGTCCTCAAATGAAAATATAATCACATGATCTTGTACCTCAAACTTTTAAATAAATTGTATGTTGCAATGGACGAGTACCGATGTTAAAATGTGAGTAGGAAACACTTTCTTCAAAGTCAAGGGTGAGATTTCACATTTCTGCTAACTGAAATTCACCACATTGAAATCAGAACATGCCGTAGGGGGAGAAGATGAGAAGTGAGCACTTACCTTCCTCTTCCTGAGCTTATAATCATTCAGCTCTTCCTCATCAGTGATCTTCTGTTTTGGTGGTGGTGGCAGAAGTTCGAGCTCCCTCTCTTTGGCTTCCCTCAGCAGCTGCTCAGCAGTTATCTGAACCTCTGCGGGAGCTTTATTCTTCACCTGAAATACAAAAAGAACTTGTTTAACATGATGTTGCTTCTAGGGAGTCTGTGGTTTAGTGGCAGAGCAAATCTGAGTCAACACAAAACAGGAATTTAACAGAAAATGTTTGGTCAAGTCAACTGGGATCATTTTAGAGGTAACTGGGAGCAAATTATGACTATGTGTAGTACTATACAAATATGGAAAGAAGAAAGGTGTACCTAATGTGATGCATATATGAGTGTTTATGCAGTAGGAGTAGATAATATTAAGCCGACAGAAATATCTAAATGCAGCTATAATGTAGGAACATATGCGACACAGAATTTAGGCTAATTCTAATATTTCTATGCACTATATTCGGGTACGACACCATCACCAATGGATACAAGGAGGTTAATTGTTTCCCTAGAGAGGGATAACTATCTGTCCTGAGCTGTGTGGAGCTCAACTCTTTATTTGAGACATAACTATAGAACTTTAATGGGAGACAATGCACTTTGTTTGCAATGTAATCTTTATTTCAAGATGATATCTTCGTTTAAACATATTGTTTTTCCACTGCCATGGCATTTAAGGTGCATTATAATAGATGTGGGCATGGCTCCCTATGTATAAACAATTACTCATCCTCTTACTACTAGTACAACACGTACCATGCAGCCAACTTAGTTTTTTGTTTTTGTTTTAAATATATTTGTGTAAGACCATGTCTCACTAATGAGTGCAAAACATTTTCAAACGTGTCAAATGAGTTTCCAGAGAGGGGGCACGCCAGTGTGTCACACACAGACAAAAATCCAAACAACGCGCAGCATGGTTGAGGAACACAACAGCTAGTATAACCCTCTGTTAGCTTAGATATGAAAGTCAATTTAGCGTTAGCTGTTGTCGAGCTTATCTGGTTCCGGTCAGTCTGCCACCAATACTCTAGAATAGTTATTTAATGAATGCTGTATGTATTTATTAGGTAGTTTAAAGCAAAGATGAACGCTATCTGACGCGATGTTCAACTGAACCTTAGCGCTAACTATCTGTTAGCATTAGCTTAGCCGACGTCAGGAGCTCATGGCTGTTATAGTAAGTTTTGTTTTCTCACCTTCGCCACCTTCGGTATCCGCTGTTTGCCTGCCGCGGTGGACGCCATTTTTGCGGGCAGGTTTTAAACAAATAACTACGCTACCAAAATTACTTTAAACGTTTCACAACAACTACAAAACTATACACAGGTAACGAAACGTTATGGCCACATCAAGCGCGAGCCGCCATGACAGTACCCACAATGCCTTGCGAGTTGTCGCTCCAGCCACGGCGTTCTGTTACTATGGTTACAGAATTTGAGACCCATGGTAAAATTTTTATGTACTTTATGAACTTATAAAGTGTCTTTGCTAACAGTTCTTATAGACATACAGATTTACTGTTTCTAATTTGACCCACAAGCTATAGAAAGGTAAATAAGAATAAAGAAATCCGTGACAGGTGAGTAACAGTTGCTCTGGGCTGGCTAACATTGACGCTTTAACTAGCTAATGTTGAGATGTTGTTTCTGCTGTTGCTGTTGTTTGGTTGTGGCTGAAATGATTTTCTGTCTTTCACCAGTCCAAGTGAAAATGAGGACTGCAACTTCAGCCAGTGGCCAAGAGGAAACTGTGACCGTCAGAAGGAGCGAATCGGCGGATGCTGAGGGGATTGACAGCCTCATCGGCCCCTCAGCTCTGGCGGTTTTTGGAAGGGTCAATGTAATTCATCTTCTGTAAGACAAAGTTTTTGTTTATTCATTTATTTTAAACGCTTTATTTATAGAGATTTACCATGCACTAGACAAGAAGCTAGACAAGTAGCTAACATAAGCTGTCATCTCTAGGGCTCAAACATACCATAACCAAAGAACCAAAGACTCTTAATTTAGTTAAAGGTACAGTGTGCAGGATTTAGAGGCATTTATTGGCTGAGATGGTATGTAATACTCACAACAATGTATTCATTAGTTTATAGACAACTGAAAATAAGAACTGCTGTGTTTTCATTACACTAAGCAGCTTCTCTTCCATGGATTCAGCCATGTTTGGTTTTTTGAATAGGTTTTTGGTTAGATGTCTGAAATAAGTTCTGTGGTTAACATAAGCTTAACAGACATCCACGTTTTGTTCTACAACATAAAATACATCAGTAAATACCCCACTCATGAAGTGTGAAGCTTCTATGTGTCTTTGAAAAGGTGGTTGCTAACAAGTGGCTAAATTAAATGACACTACAGAATGTCATCATGTGGAGTTGCACTGAACACGACTTTACAGGCTTGCTATGGTGGTGAAGGAAGGTCATGCAACCGTAGTGTAGTTTGTTTATAGCCTAACATTAGCTTTATACCAGTGGTGATTGCATTTAGGCTTCGGTAACCATTAAGTGGTATTTATTTGTAAAGATAATGTATCTGAGCAAAACATGTAAATGTTTGTTTGCCACAGAGCTTATTTTTTTTGCAATAATCCAAAATACAATGGAAATACAGAAAACCATCATCCCTGGGGCACTCATTCACGTTTTCATATCAGCTAGCATAGTTCAGCATAGTAATTGGCACACATAAGAAGTTTCAGCAAACCTCTACCAAACCACTAGATTCCACTAAATTCTACACACTGGAGTAGAAACCCCCCGTCACATACATAAAATCAAATGTGATCAAACATGTGAGCAAATGCTGCCTCAGTTAGTTTGTTTTTAGACACCTAAGAAAATCAATATCAGCTATATTAAGAAATGTTTCGCTGCTTTACCATACCATCATACAGCCTCCTCTGACAGGAGCCATCTCTGAAGCCATTATCTCAAAGCCACCAGACACTTCACAGAATGATGAAGTTGCTGGTCTGCAGCTGCCTCAGTCAGCTCTTGTGTAAGGCAAAGCAGTGAAAATATTCCAAATAGAGCATACACTAAAACTGATAATGATTTTTTTACATAGCTAAAATACATTTTGCTGCAACCCCTGTCTACAACAGTAACATTACATTGTTTGGTTTCTTTGCCAGTAGATTTGGTTTATTGTAGACGCTAGCAAAGCAACACAGTACATAAACTAAGCACAACAGAAATGTCAGATTAGTTATGGCTAAACTTGACAACAGAAAGCAACAAGTTCACATATGTCTAACAGCGTCCTGCTGCAGACCTCCAGCCTCAGGCCCCACTTCCATCAGTACTATGATGGCATACATGGAGTATTCTTTTCTCTTTTTGTAAACAGTCACTGAGTAAATGTTGTTATCTTAATATCATCCTCTGGTTCTTCTTTTGTCTCTGCTCTCATGGACCTTCCAGAGAGAAAGCCAATCTGGCTGTGACTCTGGCCAATGAAAAGGATGACGTTCTGGCCCACGCTTCCTTCTTCGATCACCCTGTTGGAGACTTGGTGGATCAGGCTCACTGGGAACCTTTCCTGCAGAAACACTTCAGTGTTGAAAAATGCACTGTGCGTATCACTCGTGAATTCAGATGATTCTGCAAAGAGCTGCTGATGTAGAGTTGTATATACTGTTTAAGTGTGCTACTACAGTAGTTTGTAATGGTATCCATAATCACATGAATCTGTAGCTCCAACAGAGCTAACCTGGTGTCATGCTCATACTTTGTCACTATTTGAAGTTTGAAGTAAGCGTATTTTTAGATCAGGTGAAAAAGAAAATGAACCGACACCTGGAGAAAACTGGCTAAATCTTCTTTCTTCTGCAGCCTTTGAACACACTCTTCCTCCACCTTTTTGTGGCACAGCGTGATTTCACCACAGCAAGTGTGAAGGAAATAATGAGGTATGAAAAATAAGGGTAGCCCGTATGCCCTTTTTAAAAGTGGAGTAAAACTGTCAGGGTTTGCAGTATTGTTATCTAGAATATTTTTTCCTGTAATTCCATAAGACATTGTAAAATCTAGCCTTATTTGCCTCATATTGTTATTGTTATTTTATCATTATGATTATTTATTATAGACAGCTGGGCTGTGTCAGGGTTCAATTCCCAAATGTCATGAATATTAAAAACAGTAGTTTCTCTAAAGTGCTTTGGTTAGAAGCAACCACAGAGTAGATTTGCAAGGGTTAAAGAGATAGTTTGGATCTTTTGAAGTGGGCTTGTATGAGGTACTCATGTAAAGTTAGTGTATTACATACAGTAGATGTCAGTCAGCTGCCCCCAGTTTGGAGAAGCAGGCTGGATACAGACACAGAAGCTAAGCAATGTTCTGCCATGTATTTTAGCCACCCAAATCAATTTATGCGTACATTATATTTAGAATATTTTCACCTCTTTACCTCATTGTTAGAGATTTTCAACGGGCAACTGAGGCCATTATATCTCTCTCTTCAAAACCAGACTTCATTAAGAAAAAAGTGATTTAACATTGCTGAACACAGGAGCTGCTGAAGTGGTCAGCAGATTCCCTTTTGGAAAAGGCTGCCTGATGGGAAGGTAAAGCGGTGAAAATACTCTAAATACAGCATACACTGGAACTGATATAGATTTTTTTAGGTGGGACTTTTTAGAGGGTTTTGTTGCTGCCCCTGTCCACAGCAGTGCATTGCTTAGCTTCTGTGTCAGTGCTCCTGCCTCTTCTCCAAACTGGGGGCATGCTGACAGACATATACCGACTATAAGATGAGATAAGCACCCTATCTGAACTATTCCTTTAATGCAATGTCTGCCAAATTACCATTCCCTGTTGCTATGCTTCTTTTGACAGGGCTGTCTTTAATGCCGTCTCAGAGCTTGAGTACATCTGCTTGGTCACCCTAAACGTTGGTGGTTTAGGTGAAGAGCTGCTGCCAATTCATTGTTAAGTTATCAATAATTCAAAAGATATACTTTGTAGAGACTGAGTCTTGTGATTTCTGTTTGTTCAGAGCCGGCACTGAATGAAATGTTTGAGCCACTGCAGCGTCTAACTGACCCCGGGCCTCAGTGCTTAGCACTCATCTGCCACAGACAAAAGCACTGTCCAAGGCTTCATATCCGCCCAGCCAGGTGATTTCAACTGATTCCTACCCACTAACAGTATCTGCCTGGAAAACAGTGAAACTTATCCAGAGCTCAAATACATAAAGTGCACAAGCATACAAGATTTATGAGATTTACCTTCATCTTTAGCAGAGCCCTTTCAAAAATGAAACAACTGTCAAGTATTGTGCCCACATTTCACTGGAATCACACTGTGAGAATTCAGTGGATGTGGATCTGTTGTCCTCTAACTGGGTAAAATTAAAGCTGCATTAATTGATTTTTTTTTGGCCACTTGGGGGCAGAAGATCTCCCCAACAAAGTGACATAGGTGCTGTAAAACTAAAACTGATCTAAAGGAGGTTAAAAGGTGTTGAGGAGATGCTTACTTGTTCTTAATCATTAGTGGGTTAAGCACTATTATTGTAAAATAAATGATATTGATTGGTGGGAGCTTTAAGGTGTCGGTCTCTCCTCTTTTTGTACATTGTAGGGTTGAAGATCATGATGACATCATGCGCCTTTTTGCAGAACAGACAAAACATCTGTCAGCCGACGAGCCGTACTTCCTGGCAGAGCTCATTGAGGCACAGAACGAGGAAAATCACACCGCTGTTTATGAGGTTTGTTCCACCATTTAGCCCTTTCCTCACTTAAAGGAATACTTTAGCCCCCTGATAACTATTTGTATATCTATTCATCCAGTGTTATGTTGAACCCATGAAGAAACCTTTTTTTCTTGCAGTATAATCTAAGTCTCATTTATCTAGTCATATGCTCAGCACTCTCTGAACAGTAACCCCTTTCTGACAGGGAACTGAACCCGAAGTGAAACTTATGTGTTGCTCTCCTCAAAGCCAGATTTTAAAGGGTTAGGTCAGATTCACCAAGGTCACACAATAACACCATCAAACTACCAGTTGATACAGCGGTAGACCAGCAGCTCCTGTATTTAGCAAGGTACAATTTCTTTTTCTGTCAGTGGAGTCTGGCTTTGAAGGGAGAGCACAGAGTTTTGAAAAGTCAGATGCTTTTAAATTGAGAAACCATTAACCCGTGCTCATCCCTCCTTCTTGTCAGACCTTATGTGAGTTATGTGATTTGTTCCCCAGTCATTTCCGATCCATACTTTATAGCAGCTCACTGATGATGCTTTGACTGATTGTCAGAAACCCTGCTGGGGTTCGTTCCCCCGGGATCTGAGAGGCGACAGATCTTCTCTCCCCTCCCTGCCAGTCGGGCTGACATGTGTTCATGGCGGCATATGGCAGATACGAGCTGATACTTGGCCAAGACATGCTCTCACTGAACATATTGTGTCCAGACATCTGAAGCATTTTGGGCTTTTTGTCTGAATATGTTCAGCACTCAGAGAACAAACAGTCAAACATTGCCCCAGAGGGTTAGGCTGTTCTCTCTGCTGAATGCCATAACCTTTTTGTAAAGCTCCAAACACGTCATCTAAATATTTCTTGGGTTGTTATCTTATCCTGGTAGATGATCTGTTACAGACACAGCATGATTTCAGTCCAAACCCAAACCAGCATGAGAATCAATAGCTGTCTGTAAGCCCAGTTTTAAATAATGAAAATTGTTTTTATTAATGATCACTGTCTAAAACAATATTAGGCTCTAGCTGTTCTGGTGTTTAAGATGGGATCATATAATCTTCATTAGTAGAGGGGTTTTGCTCAGTTGAAAGCAACATTAACAAGATGTCCACAAAGCACTCCGAAAAAAAATGGAAATTTGAGCATCTCAACGCCATGACAATCTAGTAAACTCCACCTGCTGAGGAGGATTATGTGATATGATTGAAAGCTCCAGAACAGCTACTGAACAGACACATAGATTTTACTCACTAAAAACTTGTTTTTGCACTTCACTTCCCAGAAATCACTTGCGAGTCAAACAACCATGGCACCTTCTTTTCTTTGTGAGGGATCTCGCTGCCCATGCCAACTGCTAAGTTCTACTTGTGCTGATTATTCTGAAAGGGCCATCTCTTACTGTGCAGGAGCCACACAGCAAGTGTTTAAAGGGACAGTCCACCCCAAAATCAAAATCATATTTTTCCTCTTACCTGTAGTGCTATTTATCAGAATAGTTTGTTTTGGTGTGAGCTGCTGAGTGTTTGAGATATCAGCTGTAGAGATGTCTGCCATTTCTTTAATATAATGGAACTAGATGGCATTTGGCTCGTGGTGCCAAAAAATCCAGTGTCAGACCAAAAATCATGACCCAGATCTTGTTGTGAGCAGTTTCATGTGGGAACTATTTTCTTTCTACTGAGCTACACCCACCTATGTTATCACTGCGCTGAAGAAAATGTGCATCTACTACTAGCTCACCTAGCACCACTGAGCTAGCTAACGTTACAGCTCAGCCAAGGAGGGTGCTATTAATTTTTGGATCTTACATTGTCACGAGTGCCAGCCTCTTGCCCATGAGTAGATGCCCACTTCCTTCAGTGCTGTGATACATTTTGCGGGTGTAGTTCAGTAGAAAAACAAAAACAAAAAACAAATGTTAAAACTAACTGTTAGAAGGCTGCTGGGATATAGACATATACTTGAGTGAGGGGGAAATATGAATATGACTATATGAAAAAAAATATCTGTGTTTTCTCCACAGAGTGATGGAGTCGTTGTTGGCTTCATCAGTGTCACTTCTAATGTGGATTTGAAACGGCTTCATGGCAGCTTTGAGTTGAGTGAGTTGGACGGTTTGGACAACCTACAGCAGATAAAACACGATGAGCCTCCTGCTCAGACTGACCCAAGAGACAATCAAGAAGAAACTAAACAAACACAGTCCTACGATTCACAGCAGGTAACTTAACTGCACATCTGTGAACTCACTCACTCGTGTTGTTCAGACAAATAAGGTAATTATGAAACTTACAGTCACAAGTTGTGGTAAAGACATGATGGTCATATAAGCATTAAAAAACAACACCGTCTAGCAGAACAGCAGTCATAAACTATATCATTTTTAGAATTAACCATCTACTTTGTGGTATATTTGTTGTTATTGTCGCTTTTATCTCATCAGGAGGAAACACAAACAACTGGCGCAGGACATTTTTCAGAGAAACCCAACGCCGTCTGTATTCAGTTCTTTGTTATTGACAAGAATTATGAGACGAGGTAAGATCAGAATAAGGTCTGGGTGAGGGTATTAACCATACTTAGATAGTCTTGAGACTGAAAAATGTTTTACTGACTTTACATTACATAACAAAGCATATTTTGACATGTAACACAAAAACAAAATATTGCAATATATTGAACAGAATACAATATGATTTTTGGTTTTTACTTGTGTCTACTGAGTTACTAAAGGTTAGCATTCAACAGAATAACAGAGTTAGATTTCTATAATTCACACATATCAAAAGTCAGATACCACACGATTTCCACTTTCATACATATTTGATGGCAGCCGTCCAGAGTAACATCAGTCATATGTTGTGTTAAAGCAGGGAGAGTGACTGTTAGTTGGCTCCTGCTGAGCTCCTCTCGCTGCCGCCTTACCTCCCAGCTGTTACTGAATATGGAGTCGAGTCGCTTCCTGCCGAGAGTGAGCATGTTATTAATGAGAGCTGCGCTTAAAGTGACAGCGTGACAGAGCTGAAGGCGAGAAGTTGAGCTGGAAGCAGCGGGCAGATTGGTTGGCCAGTTGTTCTGCCACAGTGATCACCAGCTTTGGCGAGCTTGGCTTGGATTCTGAAGTTGGCACTCACACATATTTTCACTTAACTTCCTCTTCTTCTTCTTTTCTTCCAGATCAGTGGACATTATTCCATATATATTCAAATGTTTCTCTGTGAGTATCATCTTTTTATGAGTGTGTTTAGAAGCTGCACAAACAGACAATAAATAAGTTAAAGATCAACTAAATAGTCCTGTGTCCCTGGAATGATAATATGTACATATAAGTTTGAAAAGGTAAAGAAATAAGTCCCAAAGCTGGATTCATAGATTTTCAGGAAAGTTTCTAAAGATTACAAATTACCCTTTTTTAATGATATGTTGAACATATCTGCTCAGTGAAGTGTGTGTGTCAGTATTAGTTGTCCTTGTGTCCATCCGTCAGGACCAAGACTTCTGCATCATCACCGTACCAACGCTGTCCCCTGAGTTCCCTTTGCTGCAGAGCTGCCTCAGGGTGCCACCCTGTGCCACCAGCACACTGCCTCATGAACTCTACGTCTTCCACCGCACCGGGCTCAGGTTGGTCATCCTGTTAAAGAAATTAACTTTGTCAGATCATTGATTGGTATGCAGGCCAGGATACCAATATAACAACTTCAATGTCATTATAGCTCAGGGAGGAGGTTGCTTACACATTTGTGGCTCCACCTGTAATGAGAATAACATGTACAAAACCACATTTAAGTCTTTTAGCCTATTGGATCTCTCTTAAATATAAACTAAGCATGCCAACCAGTTATGATTCCTCACGTTTGCTGTAAGACAATGTAGTGCTCAAAGAGTAAAGAGGATGCTTTCCCTGCAAACCTTGTATACATTTTCAGCTATTTTTTAGGATTGGACTTCACAAGGTGAAATTAAGAGGTGCATTTTAATTACAAGTGTATTTAAAACTAAAACTAAAATGATAAAGCACCACTTAAGCTAGCTATTGAGGTACAAGCTGGACAACTCAACACCAGGCTTGTGTAACTGTTGTCTCCCTGACAGGAAAGTTAGACACAGATTGATATTTAATCAATAAGGGAGCCAGAGATGTCACAAGCTGAACCTAATCAATATGTGGGTTGATCAGGGCATATTTTAAAGGATCAGTACAGGCTAAAGTAAAGTTAGTTAAAATCTGATCCTTCTTTTACTGTATTCTACTGTATTTTGTCACCGCAGGTCATCTCAGCCACATCACATCCAGCCTTAGTGTAAGCATTTCGCTCCACATGAGAGTAAAAATCAAGAAAGCATGAATGTGAAAAATTATTTGGTCGCGCTAATGATTGCTGACAATGAGATGGTAAAAATATGAATTTTTGTTCAGTTCTAAAAAGGGCAGTGTAAAACATTTATGCAGACTAGCAGCTGCGCATTTTCAGCTGGTGCTAACCTTCACTTTCACTGGTTAAAAAAAAATAGATTGGAAACATTGGATTTTCTAGATACCCAATAATAAATGACTCAGATCTAGACCAAAGAAACTTGATCCGCACGTCCCTAGAATGAACTTCATGTCTGATTTTAATGAGCCAAAATCCATATGTGTACATAGGTATTTCATGGACCCTCTGCAGTACTGATACAAACCACTAGGCCTCCAGAGGCCCTAGGTTGAGAAACAGTGTTCTATACTAAACCATGCAGAAACTCTCGTGGATTACAGAGACAATGAAATACAGAGTAGAAACTGACAGTCTGCGTGGTGATAATTCTGTTTATTTATTGTAACTATATAAATAAATATATTATCACATTTGATCATTACAGACCAGTGTTCCTCTCAGCTTGTGGTGATGCCATGGTTCTTCTTTCAGGAGTGTGGAGGTGAGGCCGGCTGTGTCTGCAGACCGGCCGGCTGTCTCTGATCTGGTGAAGGGTCTGAGATTGAGCGAGTCCCTGCTGCAGGACCTGGACTGCTTCTGTGAGACCCGCAGAGAACCGGTCAGTCCACACACACTGTTGTCAAAACACCATGAGTCATAGATGCAGTTTGAACTTTAAGGTTAGGGGATTCACAAAAAGAAAATCAAGAGGAAATGTAATGTGTACAACAGAAGCTTTGTTTACATAAATATTAATAACCAGGATACCAGCAGGTGCATTTCCATATCCCCATTTATATGCCCAATAATAGAATACTGCAAGAATTAGATCAAATTTGAACAAACCACAAAATCCAGCACAAAACAAGATACAGATCCCAGCTATTAGTGTCAGGGCTCACGGGGCAGGTTTGGGCAAGAAAAATGTCACATGCAGTTGTCCGATTAGGCATGTGAAAACTAATTGTTATATCTTTCTCTCATGTAACATTATCTGAAAACAAACTGCATACCTTGAACAGGACTGAAGAATAAAATTTGACATACTGAACACTATAGAAGTTAGCTCTGGGGTTGACAATGTCACATAGACCGTTTCATTGGAATTGCATTGGTAGGTAACAGCTTGGGTCCATGTTTACTTCCTGTCAGCTAATGTCATTCACATAAACAGCAAAACAGTACAATAGAACATACAGAAGAAATTATTTCAAATGTTTATGTCAAATTTGAAACAGTCTATACGCCATAACGTTACTGACGTTAAATATCCCTGGAACACTGCGTGCAAGACTATTTCTTTTGATGTTAGCCATCAAGGCATTCTAACAAGGGCTCCAGTGTGATTGCATCTCTTTTGAAACAGCTATTGTTGTTGTACGCTGTCCACTAGCCATCCATGATGCCTTGTGTGAGTCATGTTTAAGTTAGAATAGTCCCACCCGTTTTGTTTGTTAATAAATTATGATTATCAACATCCCTATGTCCCTTCAAGTTGTGTTTTAAAAAAATATACATGAACCAACGCAAACTTCCCCTATGCCGTCAGTCACTCAACACTCTGTTTGTGTAAATGTGTTAACATCATATAGCAGCTAGGATTCTAATGCAACCCTGATTTCCCACAGGGATCAATAATTAAGTCCATACTGTTTTTTTTCCCTGGATGTTTACACAAATTTTCTTGTATTTTTATATGAATATTTTCCTAAAGAGACTAAAGTTCATTAATAGAAAACAGTATTATAAACTATCAGCTGTCTATTAATGAACTACATGTACTTTTAAGTAGTGTTACTGCATTAATGAAAGCAAAATAACCAATTTCACCATAATGTGTAATTAACTACATGAATCTAAACGCAGGAAATAGCATAGTTTCTTTGGTTTTAGAGCCTGTGACTTAATGGTGCCCTCCACCTCTGTGCCAGTCTTTGTTCTCTGTTTGTGATGTAGCAGGCTGCTACTCAGTTGAAAACCAACTGGCCTTTAATATGGTCAGTGTTTGGGAATCATTTTAATCATCATTAACACTAAATATCAAGGTTGAAATTTTAACTAGCTCCCCTTTAACCTTTAAAATGACACGATGATTGTTTTTGGACGATCAAGTGTGACTCGAGCTGTTGATGATTGTCTTGGAATAATGAGGAATATGGCATGTATGCCAGGGAACAGATTGGTGAGAATTCAGTTGAACAGATTTTCCTCTCTGACTGACACCCCAGCTGTCACTGCCACAGCTCCAAAACTGATAATTACTTCTGCAGCCACTTCATATGTATTCATGGCACTGGACTGATACAAGAAGGTGCATATTCAATGCAACACACACATGTACATTTACATATACTTTGTTTTGCTCTCACACAGGATGGTATGGCGCTGCAGGCCTTCGTGGCCCAGGTGCAATGTCAGGTTGTGGGGATAGTGATCATCAGAGACGAGCAGGTAGGTGCAGTTTACGACTCGGTGTCCTCAGATCAATCTGAAAGTTCTGGTTTAGGGTTTATGGTTGTTTTTGGTTCAATTCTGAGTCTGTCTTTAAGAAAGAATAGATGCTGAAATCTATTAAAATCCTTTTCAATACCTAATTGTTAATTCAGTGCACAAGAAAAAAATGTTGTCATGAAATGTATCCGATGGTTTTTAATCATTTAATCTCTCATGTTTACAACATACCTCCTCAAGGGGGTACACAACTAATTTTACAGTTACATTATGCAAATTTTAAGATCAAGGGTTTTTGGAGTTTAATCCATACAAGGGACCAAGAGTCAGCATGTCTCACCCTCTGCTGCATAGATTTTGACTAATCTTTTTTAAATCTGTCTCACCAATCCCCCAACTTCATGGAAATGCAAAACTAAATCACTGGAGTAATAAGAAAAAGTCTTTTAAGTCACTTTAAAAGTAGATAATAACCACATTATTTAAAAGCATCACAAATAATCAGTTTTACTTCAGAAGTAATGATCAACCTGATCAGCTGATTGACAGAAGAATTAATGGAAGGATGTTGATGAAATCATGCTGTTACACACTGAACCAATAACAAATTCCACCAGAATAGCCCTGTTGGTCATTAAAGTCAATTGAAATTTAATTTATTAATCACTTAAAGGTTCAATGTGTAGGATTTAGGGGCATTTGTTGGCAGAAATGGAATATAATATTCCTAACTTTTTTTTTTCATTAGTGTATAACCACCTCAAAATAAGAATCGTAGTGTTTTTGTTACCTTAGAATGAGCCCTTTATATCACACAAAGTCCACCATGTTTCTACAGTAGCCCAGAACAGACAAATAAAACCCTGGCTCTTGATAGGGCCATTTGCAGTTTGCATCAGCTACTGTAGTTCTCCGACAAGCTAGGCACATGGGGCAAATTTCAGTTCTGCAACCTCACCACTAGATGCCTCTAAATCCTACACACTCGACTTTTAAGTTAGTTGTTAGGACAAAATGCCAAACAAGATTTTTGGCTTTTCTCGGTTTTATATAATATTAAATTGACTATGTTTTGTATAAGACTGTTGGCCAGATAAAACAAACACTTTGAAGATGTTACCTTGGGGTCTGGGTAATTGTGATTTTGCATAATATTCTGATATTTTATGGACTATTACCTAATCCATCAAAAATTCTTTAAAGATAAGTTGATGATGAAAATAATTACTAGTTTCAACACTGTTTTCTTCAGGGCTTTATCAAGATTATATCACATGTGCACTGAAAGTTTATGTTGAAGTATTAAAGACAAAAAACTCTTATGGGTCATTCTGCACACATTTCCCTATAATTCAGCTTGACACATCTTTAAAAACTTTAGGATCTTGACCAGAATTAAGGGTAAATTGAAAAAATAAAATAAAGGTTTCAACAATGTCTGTCTGCACATGAGTATGATTGAGGAGCTGTATTTAAAGCCCCTACAAGGAACTTTCAATTTGAGTTGATTTTGGCGACCCTGCGGACAAAAGCGGTAGGGTTTTGCCGGAATGAAGCCTACATTTCCCATGGGCTCTAGCGCATATTGTCGTAAAGACGCTTACCTGGCTCGCGCATGTGTTTGTTTTGGGGATGAATGAAACAACAAGACGGGAAAACTTTGCCCCCGCTCCTATTGGGGGTCCTAGCTCACCTCTGCCGTGCCCCAGCTCCACCTCTCCGGCGTAAGCGCCACTGCCACCGGGGTAAAAGCAGCGGTCGGCTGGTAAGGCTGAAGGCCTGTTTGGTGAGCACTTCCACAGCTTCTTGGACTGAGTATGGAGCGGTGCCTCGCCTCTTTATTTCTCGGCACTCGCTGGACCCTGTCGATGCCTGGCTGGTACCTGTCGTTGGCCCGGATGAGGTGTTCCAGCCCCGTGGCCCCTGCTCTCCTCGTCCCCGCTGGCGCGGGGTGAAACCTGCAGCCTCTGTGTGTGGCTCCCAGGACAGCTAATGCTGTGGACCCGCCGGCTCCTGCCAGGATTGGGCTGGTAAATGCTAGATCGCTAGCGAACAAAACGTTTATCCTGAAGGATTTCCTGACTTCCCGAGGATTGGATTTTCTCTGTGTGACTGAGACGTGGCTGGGTCGAGGAGGAGGAATAGCGACTATTTATAAGAGTCACTAAATGTAAGCAGTTAGGTAAGATGAAGTGTGCCGTCTGACTGCCGTAAATCGCTTCAGAAGGGACCTGCGGCACAGTTTCGTAAAGGTATGGATATACACTATATAGAAATAGCTTATTTTCACACCGATGGTCTCATTTGCTGTTGTAGGTCACGCACAGACATCAGCAGAAACGAGAGACTTTTGCATATCCAGTTAAAAGTTCCTTGTAGTGGCTTTAAATACAGAAAAGTCTGCTGGTAGGGTAAAGTCTTTTCTCTTTTAGTGTACTGTTTTAGTGTAATTTCAATCAAGAAAAAATGTTGAAAAAACTAGGACAGATTGCTATGACAGATCAAAATGTTACTGAAATCTTTTTTTATTCTACAGTCATCAGCAGCTTTTGAATGGTACCAAAAACAGGGCAACTATATTAAACATAAGCAAATAAACATAGAGCAACATCAAATGCAAAAATTTGTCCTCGCAATGAACCTGTCATTGAGTGTATCAACATAAAACTGAATTCATTATTTCATCTGTCTTTGTCAGGACATCGAGTACATTCGTGCCCACTACAACATTGAGAACTTCATATATTTCAGCCATCACCACAACGAGGAGCACGCTCAGATACGCCACTTTGTCCTCATACCCTTCTTCCAGCACTTCACCAAACACTTGTTTAAGGAGGTCCTCCGGCTGGCTCACAAGTCCTGCCTGTTCTACAGAGTCTACCCCTCATACCACAGCCAGGAGGTGAGTGTGCAGGGACCCTCAGGGTTCTCACTGGCCCCTCATCACTGGGCCCCTTCCAGCCTCTGTGCATGTCTGCTCAGATGTACATTGTCATTAGTGTAATGACCCTCAGTTCATACACTGCAAAAAATATTCCCCATGACAAATCATTCAAACTCAAGGCCAGTGCTGAGTTCATTTTATACACTGAATACGGATTGAATAGAAAATAACGCAGACGACTAAGATAATAGAATTTCATTCAGGAAAACTGGATTTGATCATTTCTTTAATGTATCGTAGGAAAACAAATAATTTGACATTTAATTCATGATGATTTAGTGTCTACACATGATACACACTAATGATCAAGACCAATTTCACATCTTCCTCTGTAAAATATGCTCAACAAAATCAGCTTTGAATAGTAGCAAGATGTTTAAAAACAGGTCAAATCTCATTTCTGTCCTTCTGGGTCAAATACTGAAAATCCAATGATGGTAAACCTGTTTTTCAACCTAGACTTTAATATAGTGATGTTTCCCATCATTTATGATAATGAGAGAGAGAGAACCCAAAAGTTTACTTTTTATAAACTCACTATTCTGCTGCAGCTTTTTGCAGTCGACTTGTTACAGCCTTCAAAAACTACTATACATCAAATTTTCTCGAAGAGGAGAGGCAGAGTCAAAAAGTATATTTATAAAAATATATTTGACTCTTTTTTTCTCTTAGTTAAGTCTGCAGAAAACAAGAAGTTGTGCGAAATAGTCAAAGCCTGGTAAAAGCCTGATAGAAGTCTTGCTTTTTGTGTTGCTAAACATTCAAAAAATGTCTTAATCCTAGCTTAAGTTTCTGTACTCTAAAAACAAACTGGTTGTGGTTTTCGAAACCCCTAAACAATTTTCCTTTTAGACTAGAGGCTATAGTACGCATGATCATGGATGATATAAATGTCCTGATAATCCTCTGCTATGACCTTTGATCTTTAACATTTGCATTAAATAATTAGTACATGTGTTCTTTTTTATTACCTGGGTTTTTATTTTGTAGCTTTGACAAAAATGTAATGACCCTGTTGTCAAAGCGCCACCTGCTAGCAGCAGAAAGAAGTGTGGTTTTAGTGGCACTGAGTAATTTGGGAATTATTATAATTCTGGAGTAAACCATGACATAAAACCTTGTTGCTGCTGTTACAGTTTAAGGTTAGTGGCTGCTGTAATAGTTTAAAAGTGGTATTTTGATTGTACTTTGCTGGACAGGCTTCCAATGTCATGTGCCCCAAGTGTGGGAAAACAAAAATATACATGCTCAAACCTGATTGGCTGTTACCCTGCTGCAGTTTGATTGGCTGTTTGCCAAATGCTGTTTGGTTCATATTTGTCAGAAGTTTTTTTTTTTTAAAGACGGTAGCAACTGCGATCACCATTATCGATGAGGACTATCTTTTACAACACACATTGAAAAGCCTTTTTTTTAGAAGAAAAACTTGAATTGAAACACATTGGTGCTCACTAGCCACGAAGTATTGTTATACACCAAACCCCTGGTAAAATATTCAGATTTAACTTGGAGTGATTCTCCGGGGAAAACATGGCTAACTGCCTGATGCCTGTCAGAGAAAATAGGTTTTGGGGTTTTTTTTTTGTTTTTTTTTTTTTGCTTCTCTTGTCTTATTTGCATAGACTGTACAAAATAGCCTCAAGTTAGGCATTTGGGTTGTTGCCATCTTGGATTTTTGGAGCCAGAAGTAAAGTAGCATCACCCTTGGTTATGTGTGAATTTAAACCTTTTTGACATCATTTTAACAAATGAGTTATATTTAAAAAAAAAAAAAAAATCACCCCTTTGCAGTTGTCAAGAATTGGGGAAATTAGCTAAAGAAACCCAAACTTTTTTTAGTGCTAGGCTGCTAGTGCTTGCTTTTGGAACCAGCCTCAAGTGGCCATTTGAGGATTGGAGTTTTTGGCACTTGGGCATTGGGTTCATTTTTCAGCCGTGGGGGTTGCCAGCTGGTTATTCGGAGGGGATGATACCTGGTCAAGAACAGGCTTTAAATATCTCAAACATTTTTCTGAGAGGATTACCAAACATGAAAGCAGCAGGACAATGTGGTAAAATTGGGTAAACATAGCTAACTGACCCAAACTGACAGTGCATAAAAACAGGGAATTGAGCCATTTAACAGCAAATTGAGGAGAATTGAGGTACCATCCACTCTCTTAAACTGTGTGGTGGAAAGTAACTAAATATATTTACTGTACTTGTAGGCTTCATTTTTGAGGTTCTTGTACTTTACTTGAGTATTAACATTTTATCCTACTTTAGCATTTCAGAGGGAAAATATTGCACTTTTTACTCCATTACATTTATTTAATAATTTTAGTTACTTTGCATATTTAGATAAATAATACAAAAAACAAAACTACTACCACTAGTAATAACAATAATAATTTATGATGCATTATTATAGGTTGATACTCAACAGTATGTAACATGATTAAATTACATGGGGCGTCGGTGCCTTAGTGGGTAAAGCAGGCACCCCATGTACAAGGCTGTTGCCACAGCGGCCCGGGTTCGAATCCAGCCTGTGGCCATGTCATCCCCCCCTCTCTCTCCCCCTTTCACATTTACCTGTCCTGTCGATTAAAGGCAAAATGCCCCAAAAAATATCTTTAAAAAAAAAAAAAAAAAAAAAAAGAATGAATCCCACATTTACCAGCTGCAACATTAAAGTGATGAACACAGTAATACATTAGTGATTATAATTTTGAAATGAACAGTTTTGCGTAATGACTACTTTTACTTATGATGCTTTAAATATATTTTATTGTGTTTTATACTAATACTTTTACAACCCTAACATTTTGACTGCGGGACTTTTATTTGTAACAGAGTATTTCTACACTGTGGTATTACTATTTTTACTTAAGTAAAAGATTTGATTGCTTCTTCCTCCACTGGGTAAACTGTTTGGGTTGTCTCAAATTGTAAAATTGTAAAATTATGCAATTTCCTGGTTTGCGTCTGCCCAAAGTAGTTGTCGCCCCACCATTTTTTTTTACCAATGACAACACTACTGATGGGGCGCATTTTAAAGTACCTAAAGTAGCTATGTCATGTATTGGGAAAGTGAAATAAAGAAGAGAACACCATTGTGTAAGATGATGTATTGGTTACCATCGGTTGATGTTGCTTTTAAGCTGTCTGTCAGACTCAAGTAGGTCATTCTTTCTGCCTTTTCCTGTGATACACCAGACTTTAATTTGGACAAATCTACAGCATCTCAGATTTTGCAAACTGTCTTCTGTGGCTGATCAGACAGATGGATTTGATCATGTAAAATGTTTTAAGCAGGTCATTTCTTGCAGAGTGCCGCCCTCAGCAGCCTGCTGTCCCTAGGGTCGGGGCAGCAGGTGCCGACAGTGCTGCCAGCTCCACCTCTCCACACCATAATAAGACATTTCCTCGACATGTAGAGGCCTCCACTTCCTCTGCTAATTACCTTCCACAAACAAGCACCAGATTGGGAGATGATGATGTGCAAATAGAATAATGGCAGAAGATAACCAGAGAATTATCTCTGTGCAGGCGATGGGTGAAGCATCGGGTGATGTTTTTCAGTCGGCTCATGTCAGCTGTGTAAACCTTGCATCATCTAACCTCTACACCTGAGCTCATTATCACTTTGTTGCCTTCCAGTTGCCTCCAGAGCCCCCACACTGACGCTGTTTAACCTCCAAGGGGGTTCTCTCTTTCTGAGCTCACTGACACTGTGCCCTCTTCTTCTGCACCCAGAATTCCTGCGTCCACCATCTGGATTTTGTCCTCAACTGCGCGGTCCCCGTCCGTCCACGACGCCAGATCATCTACCCGCTGGAGGAGCTTGGCATCAATGCCCCTTCCAGGCAGATCACCAAGGACCAGGTGGGCACAGCAGCAGCTGGCTGACAGGGAGGCTGCCTGCCAGGGAATGTAGATTAGCTGAAGGCTGCTGACAGAGGGAACACAGCAGGGTGTTAATGTGACCACAAGACGGTGCTGTTTCAACAGCGAACAGAGTGACACACAATGTGCTTCACTTAAAGGTATGGAGAAGAAAGACCAGTACACCAGGAGATGAAACACAGTACAATGGAATGATCATTTTATATTCTATTACATTTAGTCCTAAAGTGTATCCTCATTTATTAGCTGAGGTGTAAACACTGAAAGTATAACCACTGAAAGGAGATAAAGTGTCAGCTGAATTGAAAACATTACGCACTTAAAGGTTCTGTATGTTGTAATTACAGGTGACATAGGCACAGTGTCGGTAGAAGCGTAGCACCATCTTTCCAGTTCACCTCTGATTAACATCGTTAGCTCTGTCACTATTGTTGCTGTTGTCAAGCACTTTTTATGGAGTTTGCACCATTAGCTGCTAACCGCCAGCTCAGCCATGTGTTCAGAAAACTCCAACACATTCTCATCCCAAGTAGTTATATAACACCACTTTGTCATTGGCCTATGTCTACATATTCCATGTTAGGGATCCTTCTGCATCTGCTGTTTCTGATCCAGGACGTGCTACCAATGCTAAGATGTCAACAAAAGCACATTGTTAGGTTTAGGCTACAAAACCATGTGGTTAGGTCTAAAAATAAACATTTCTGTTCTGCATTCGAGAAGCAAACACTGGGCTCCTGGTTGAAAGTCCAAGGTTTGTTGGACCCATCCACTACCTCTCCCACCCACTCTATTGAGACTTTCCAGCTCCTTATATTTCATTGTTACTGGCAGCTTTTCAATCTGACGTTGTCCAGAGGCGTATTATACCCTGCGATAGGTGCCGTCCAACCTACCAGCGGTGTATCGCAACAATGTGAAAGGTTATGTCCAGCTGCATTAACATGCTGACGCCATCTGGTTGCATATCATACTTCCATGAAAGGTGGCTTTTGGCATCAGGTGTTTGATGCTGAAATCATTTACAAAGCGATGGTATTTAACAACTTCAGAATGAGAAAGAGCATACGCTTCAAATTTTGCACACAGCCCCTTTTATGGACCATTGTTAGGATTTAGAAGGATTTATTGGCAGAAATTGAGCGAACTGATCATAGTTTATTCACAATTCTGTTTTCATTAGTATATAATCACTTGAAATGTATGATTGTTTTGTTTTTGTTAGCTGAGAATGAGCCCTACGCTGCCCTCATATCTACATAGGGAGTTGGTCTTCTTTCACAGGGTCCACCATGTTGCAGCACCATGTTTCTACAGTAGCCCAGAATGAACAAACCAAACACAGGCTTAAGAGAGGGCCTTTGGTGTTTTTACATCAAAGTGGCACCTTGAATTTAGTGGCACAAATACACCAGTTGGAAGACTACTGGCAGGTGAAGGCCAAAATACGTTCCCCTACAGGCTGAGAAAGGGACAGGTCAGTGGAAAGGTATTCACTGATAGGTTGTGTGTGATTAGATAGGTAGTGTCACTTTGAGAGCAGCTTCCTCTTTTTCTTTCTTTTTTTTTTTTTACTGAAGAACCTTAAATGAAACTGACAGGTGAATAATAATAATCCTAGCTCTTCTTTTGTTTAAATCGACCATAAGTCCTATGTTCTGGTCTTAAATCCTCCGAGCCTGGCTGATGTTAATGTGTCTGTGATTTATTTCAATGTTCTGTACTTTAAATATTTACCCCATGTGCAGCAGCGCTCTCTTTATACCCAAGGCATCATTGTGTACACTTACATGTTCATTTCACTCCATCAAACCCAGCCTGCCCCCCTTTCACCTCGGTAACACAGCAGTCATGATTTCCAGGCTACCGTGCAGATAAGAGCTTCGCCTCTGAGCTGTGTTTCTGCCTCCTGATGTCAGCCCCGGGATGATTAATCAAATTTAAAGCACCTGTTCCCTCTCTGTCAATACAGGATCATATTACACAGAGCGGTGGTCATTGTGTTTAGGGAAGGTGAGGCATCTCAAGCCTGATAAGAGCTGCTGCACCTGCTCCACCGCACATGCAGATGAGACGGGAGCTTTGTTCATCTGATTACCTCATCTGGTTAATTCCTGCAGTATTCAGATGGATGCATGTAGGCATTTAATTTGCCTCTTTGCAATAACACATACGGGGTTTTTACATATAAAGTAACACTAATTTTCAATAAATGTCAAAATACAGCATCTATGTGATGCACAGCTTTAAAATGATTGTTTACCTGAGACATTTTGTGACTATTGTTTTTATAAATGTGATTTAATGAATGTCTTTTATAGGAAATAATAACATTTTCCTCCAAATATATCTTTATCACTGCTGGTATCTGTTACCCAATCATGCTCCAGTCCAGTTTTCCACTTACTGCTGCACAGTAATCGAAGCAAATTCAGAACATTTCATTGTTGCATTTGGAAACAAAATACGTTGCTGAATTCATCCAAAATTGACCAGAATTTTAAGTGAGTTGCTGAATGTTTTCAGTTTAATCTCTTGCTTCAGTTTGTTGCACAAAAAGCAGAATTTTAAGTTCTGGGACTGGATGTTTCAGACCAAATTGCTCTCAAGGAGTCGTAGTTTACTTTTCTCCTTTTATTTTTCAAATGCCACAGACTTGAATGTTCAACTTTCTATCAATAATCTAATACTTTCTAACACAGTTGTTTATCTTTTATACTAATGAATCAACCAGGAGAGTTTCATGTCCTATAAATGAAGGTGACGTATATCTTCACAAACCTGTGCTCCCAAAATATCTCCAACAGAACAACACTAATGCAGCTACTTGGTAAAATGTCCTCCCAAAGTACACTTGACTTTATAAGTTACATTTGACCTGATGTAAACAATGATGAACTGATCAAAAATATTGCAAAGGAATAAAAGTATTTAAATATTTGATATAAAACAGGGACATAGTGTTTTAAAGTAGGCACTAAAGCAAGGTAGTAATTAAAATATAAATTGATAAAAAGTATACCTTAAAAAATGCTATGTTACAACAGGCAGCCATGCACCTCTGCTAATAATCATTAGCAAATGTAATCACAATCATAAATAAAATTCAGAAAATTCCATTATTAAGATTACTACCTGTTCTAGTATTATGTTTTTTTGTGAAAACAGGCCCATTTGTGAGTGCTAATCAATCAATCATCCCTAATGTTAGCTATTGTTGCCAAATTATGTGCAGTTAATTTACCTCACATTCACCCAGCGACTAACAATGTGCACAAGAATCCACACAGGGATTCCAGTGGCCTTGTACAGTTGTACCTGAGAAATGGCAAGTAAAAATCTTGAATCTTGAACAATGGTGCTCATGGGTGTATTCAGCTGACGTTGATGCCTTTGTGACGTTACATTTGCAATACATATGTTGCCTTGAATGTGTAGTTTTGAGTCTGGGCACACTAGACTAGTCACTAGTCAGTATGCTGACTCCATGGCTACGGCTTTGCACTGAAGTACTGAAGTATTAGCTGCTTTTCTTTTATCGCTACAATACAAACTGTTTATAAGATTACCTATTTTTCTGTTTTCCACAGATACATTTATCATATAAAATAAGCACAGGCGCTTTCATTTTCCCACTAGTCAAACCCTGAGCTACAACATCTCTCAGTACGTGACAGATGTCGGGCACACATGCCCTCATGGAAATTATTTGAATATTACACAAAGGTTAATTTCACCCTTGGGTTTCCCCCTTTTTCGCTTGATGCTGTTTTCATCCAACAAGGTGCATTGTGGTGCCAATCTGCCTAATTACAGATGATGAAGGAGCCATTAGCTGCCTCACAGGGTGAGGACCGGAGACACTTGGCGGTGGAGGAATTGGTAAATCAGAACGCGGTGTTCTACTAATTCCTGTGGGAGTCTTTTGTAATTATTGTGGACAAGTGTTTCTTAACTGTCAGGTCACATGTTTGATCCCCGAGTTTCCATCTCATTACAGTGTGAAGCTGCACTTATTGCAATTCTGATATTTTTCTAACTGCAATTATTGGTTTTTGAACATATGAATGATGAGAAAACACCTGATTAATACACAAATAGTTGCAGGCAGTATGAGGAAAGTACACCAAGTACACATATGAATACATTTTTAAAAATGAATCTATTCCAGTATGAGGGGTTAATAATGATAAAAGCAACAGTTACTAGGTTTATTTCATTGAACAAAGGTCAGAGTGTTATCATCCTATGTTTTTTTTTTTCTTTTTTTCTGTCAGCTCAACTTGTAGTCTCATTTTGGACTGACAAAAGAGATAATTTGTGGTTGAATACAATTTTTGGGCGCATCTTATCTCATCTCATCTCTCTCTCCTCATTTCCTATCATTTCTCTACTCTCTGTCTAATAAAGGATTGTCTTTATCAAACACAATTTACAATAAAAGTAATTAATTTTCGGTTGTATAAAAATGCCAAATTCACTGTAGAACAAAATTTTGATAACAAAGGGATACTTCAGACATTTAAAGATGCAGAACTCTTCCCTCTCTTGACTTGAGTGCTTCAGATGATAAATTACAGGTATTTAATACCCTTTTAGTCAGTTGAATTCTGTTGTGAAATGTCTGCACATCAAAGTGTATCTACTTAAATTTATCTAATATTCAGTGGTCTTAAGTAAACCTGAATTTGCTGAGCATCTATAAAAGGATGATTGTTGATATTTAATAAGACAGAGATTTTAGAAATGTAAGATGTGCCCAAAACTTTGCTTAAATGTTACAAATACTAGAAAGTTTTTTGCCTGAGAGCCATACTGTCTGTTCAGTAGGCAGATTAAGTGCCTTGATAAAAAGCCAGTTCCTACTTTATCCTGTGATATTAAAATGGGTAAAAATTGGGTTCATTATTATGTAATGCTTTTAGTGGGTTAACATGCATTTGGAAGATCATTTGATTTTCAGAAAATGGCACCAGTCATTTTGGGAGTGACAAATGTCCTCCAGATTATTTTCACTCTGAATCTGACTGTCTGTCTTCTCTCTCTGTTTTTCTCTCAGGCACCGTTTGCTCTCAGCCTCATCAGCAGAAAGTTAACCATGGAGCCAAAGGTCACCATTAACGCCAGGATTGTGGTGGTGGGGGCATCAGACACAGGTTTATCTTTCCTCGAGGTGCTTTGCTTCTGGTGAGTCTCACTCCGAACATGATCATCTTCTACCAGATATGCTATAGACTCTGTGTATACCGGCCTTTTCTGAACTAGTGACAAATAACGTCACAGTTCTTCCTCTGTAAGCAAGACCAGATTAACCTTTTAAGGGACCCTGGGGCAAAAATTTGCTGTCACTCCCCCATTAACCCCCTCCTCCCATACACACACACACACACACACACACACACACACACACACACACACACACACACACACACACACACGGCACCATCTGTGCATTGTGTATGTACCCTGTCATCTCCAAGTTCCCATCAAGAACAGTGCACACAGCCGTCTGTGCATGGAAGTTTAATTATTTGCCCCAAAACTCCATACCAACCAGTACCAACCCCACATACACCGACCTGCTGCCCCAAATACTCACTAAAGCATCACATGTGAATTAATCCACCGATAAAAATAGTCCCCAACAAATGCACCATTTTGTCCTGTTTGTTTAATAAAAACTCCAGTGACCATCTGTTTTAGGAAATTACTGAGGGTAATGAATAATATACTGGGACCTTTGTTATTTTTAAAGATATATGCCTTCAGTGGGAACCAGTGGGCTTTTGGCCAAGAGCCACAGGCAGGGTAGAGAAGTCAGATGTTGTTGGTTTGGACCTTATCATGGGATTTGTGTACAGGAAAAATATAACACCAGTGACATCAGCTTTATCATTTATTTAGGAATAAACACCATGTGAGCACAACATAAACTAAGACAAAAAATGTCTTAAAACGAGATGTTGACTGAGAACCCTCTGTAAGAGATACAATTATTGAAAAATATAAACTTCAGTTTATCTGTATACTGCAGAGCATTTGAGCTGAGTTGAGTGCTGAGATTTTCTACTTCTTGCTCATGAAGCTGTTTGTCCTCTCTGCTCCCCGGCTCAAAGCCGATCCAGGACACCCCGCTCAATATTGCTCAGTGTTCAACTCAGATTTCATCCCGCTCCACCGTTCCACTCAAATCGCTCACCAGCTTGTTCCGTTTCCTTTTGAAAATACTTTGTAAACCTCTGTGTTGAGCTTGCAGCAACCAACCTTTGACAGAAAATAGTGTGTGAACACAACACACAGACGCATTCTGTATTGGGCATGCTTTGAACTGGTGTGAGTTGTACCAGAGCAAAGTGGGATGAAGAGGGAGATAAGGCTACTAAACAATGTTGGGGTTTTTTTAAAAAAAAGAAAAAAAAAAGCTTTGCACTTCATCCAAAATCCTTCCCCTTGCTCTACCCACTCGCTCCTGCTTCTCTCCACTTAATTGCTCTGGTTTATTGTACCCCTAATATTCATCATAGTAAATGTAACTGTTAGGAATTATTGTATGCTTCAACCTGCACTAGAAACAAATAAGGGCCAGGTACCAAATTAAAACTTGTGCCCAACCAGAACCTTTTTTTAAGGGTTGTTCCATGTCAGATTTTTAATTTAAATGTTGTTCAAACTTTATGCATATGCTATGTGAGACCAAAAATAAACTCTGTAAGATATTTCTGAATTTACAGAAGTGCATATTTTTTTTGCCCCTGGAAATGTTGTCATTTTCAAAGCCTAAAAAATAGCTTTGGTTGGAAGCCATTTTTAGGGTTCAATATCTTCAGACATGTAACTCCTAAAGCCATGAAATTTGGTATGGGCACAGTCAAAACAGTGTGCAACAGATCCAGATGATTGAAAGACACAAGCTGGCTCTTAAAAATGGAAAGAGGTGCAAAATGGGTGTTTGGGGATCCCAGGCACATATGGACATTTCCATACTCCCTGCTAAAAATACAGTATTTGATTGTTTTACAAAATTTAGAGACTCTAACATAAACAGCATCCAAAATATGGCAAGAATGACAAGTCAAGGTTGCAATTTGTTGCCTATTTGAGATGCCAAAAAAGGGGATATGGACTCATTCCCATAACCAACTACTCACTCACAATAACCCACAATAAACTTAAATTAAACATTTTTTAGCAGGAAGTATGGGAATATCCATATGTTTTGACTTCCTGGAGCCCCAAACCACCCATTTTGCATTTTTTTACATATTCAAGGGCCACTTTTGAAAAATGTGACATCTGCTTGTGCCTTTCAATCATTTTTATCTGTCGTACACTGTTTTGTCTGTGCCCCCTACCAAATTTCATATTTAGTTTAAGGAGGCAAAAATGACAATATTACCAGAGGCAAAAAGCTATGTTATTCTCAAAATTTTGCCAAAATATTTCACAGATTTTATTTTTTGGTGTCAAATAGCAGGTTTGACCAAAATATAAAATGTGAAAAAAAAAAAAAAATCTCCATCTGGTTTGACACAGATTGATCTGTGAGCAGATGAAGCACTGTCTGAGTCTGGATCTGTCAGTTCCTGTTTGTCTAATGTAGACAGGTAACAGAAGGATAATCAATTTTATCTCCAAGTGCCATTGAACACACACGAGTATGACATGCAGGAGGTATAAGAGACAGCTGGCAGCTGTTCAAATGAAAAGTATTTATATGATTATGTTTGTCACAGATTCTCATGTGTCTGTAGAGAAATACTCTAGTGTGCCCAGAAAACCTGAACCCGAGGAGGGCAGTCGCTCAGTGAAGCTTCTCTTTCATTTCTTTATCGTCTTTTATTTCAGGAATCCAATCTCTGGAAATGTCACTTGACTCCGGGTCGGACGTCTTACATGTTTGCCTTCGTCCTCGCTTTGTGAGATTAACCACTTCGGCAGATAATAAGAAGCGCAGGGCTGCTGATTCAGAACCAGGCGATAGCTGCCAAGCAACCAGGGTCGTTGTTTTGTGTGAGTGAGATCTCGTAGCTCTCAGAGCTGGCAAGGCTGGCACGCCGGTGATGCCGGGGCGGGCACACGCAGCTGTCTGAGGCCTGGCATTCAGCAGGGCCAGCGCTGGCCCCCTTTAATTAGCCACTCCACTGTTCCCCCCCTGTCAGGGATCTGCTGCAGCGATCTGTGTTTGCTGTCACTAATGAGTTGACTAATGAGGCAGTTAGTGTCCGCTGAACTAATGGTGAGGCAGCGACGCATTGAGGGGGTGAATGATGGGTCAGTTTCGGACTGCTGGGGCCCCCCTTATCAGCCCTGCCCAAACGTCCATCCCCCCTTCGCCCCCCCACCCCGACACAGCTTTCCATGTGCTCATTGAATGCAGCACCAGCACCACCCCCCCAACTTCATTACTGGCTGGGACGGGGTCAGACAGATAAAGAGCTCTGCGACGGCCCGGCCCTCTGCTCACTGCGGTCAGGCTGCAGGGTTACCACGGCCGTCTGTCACCAGCTGATAACAGAGCAAATCCAGAGCTTCTGATTCACTCACATCCAGACACCAATAATGGGCCTTAATGCCTCAGTGCTGTGGCATAAATCCACCTTCTGGCACAGATTAATAAGGAAAGTTTGGCTGCACTCATTGTCTGATGGCTGATTATTACTATTATTTGCATGTTCACATCAAAATCAAAGGTCAAGCCACAAAAACCATGCCAGTATCATTTCAAAGCTTTGAAATGATAGTCAAGGATTCTTTACTTGATCTATCTCTGAACTCTGGTTTGATTTCATTTATATACATGCTCATTTTGCTGCAAGTCAGTACTATAACTTAATATAAACATTTGAGTTTTAATAATTTAAGTCATTTATCAAGCATAAATGCCAAAAAATTAGCTGGTTCCAGCATCTGAAATGTGAGCATTTGCTGCTTTGCTTGGTTTCTATTTCAAAGTAAATTGAATATCTTTGGATTTTAGACATTTGGTTAAACAAAACAAGTGACTTCAGGACATCAGCGTAGGCTCCAGCTATGAGAAAACAGCATTTTACATTGTTTTCTGACATTTTATAGACTGAAGAATCAATCAATCAAAAAATCAACAGGTTAATCGATCGTAAAAACAGTTGTTTATTGCATAATTTCCATGATTGTTCCACACTCTCCTCCAGAGAGAAAGGATGGGAAACATGGATACAATTATTTATTATGCAGTATGCAATGTTATATTTATATCATGTAGTTCCTGGAAATTTAATTTAGAACAGAACTGTCCGTTTTTGAAAAATCTAGCACAGCAGATACCTGACAAATCAAGATACTTCATAAAATTGATAAAACAAGTCCTGTAAATCGAATCTTACTATATAGCAGTCATTGATTGTCCCCTGCTGGTTAACAAATTTCTACCATCTCACTCGCAGCATACATGCATTTCCTGTATTGTCCAGTCCTTCTATTTGTGCATAATGTTAATACAGCAGCCATTCAACCTATATCCAGTCAGTTTACCAGCATTTTGGTGTCTGGTTTTGTAGATCTGTGCCGGTGGGCGTTAATTTAACAGGAAGCCGAGATAAGAAGGGAGCAGGAGGTGATCAGAGGCGTCAGTGTGATAAGGCTGAACACTGCGAGGTACACACTCTGCTATTCACTGGACGAAGGAGCTGGAGCTGCTGTTATCAGCTGTGTGATGCCCTGTAGGACACCACAAAAGAAGTCATTTGCATCACAAGAGATGCTGTACACTGTGGACAGTAAATATGCAAGAGGGAGGAGGGCAGTTCAGGATTTTTTAGGATGCTCAGGAACCACAAATGCATTGGTAGGCTAGAGAACTTCCACCCGAGAACCACTGATTCAGCACCTGGATTTTTTTAGTGAGGTTTATTCAGGACAATGGCGATTCTTCTTGCACCCAAATATTTTTTTCCCAAAGATCTGATGCTAACAGTCCTGGCAATGCAGTCCACTTTAATGTGTTTATCAGTGAGTGATCCTGACAGTCAGAATATGCTAGAGCAAAGGCAAAAAAGAAAAGGCAAATGCTATCCAAAGCACAGTTTAATAAAAAAAGAAAGAAATGAAGATGAAATTTGTTAATTTGTACATACCATATTCTTTATAGTTTGTGATTTATTAGCTGTTTATTTCTCGTGTGCTCCAATAAACATAAAAGATAATAATAATAAGTATTAGTATTAGTATTAAAGCTGTGAGAAGCGATGAACAGGCCCTCACACCTTTGGGTACTGGCAGGGGTGCTGGCAGTACACTGGTTGACACAGCTGTTCATTTTTTTTGAAAGTCAGACACTGCACACTGGTGTGCGATGGTGTATCCTGGGTGTGGGCACTGGAATGATCTGTTTCACATTTTTTACCACCTCCTGTGTCCACTATGTGACGCTGGAAAACACACTACTAATATGTCATGTTGCTGTAAATCAACTGTAGACCACACCATGCAATTTTCATGTAAATCAAAACATAACGGTCAGACAACACATACTTCCCCTTGCCAGTAGGTGGCGCAATGACTATGACACATAATTGGCATGTTGATGTCTTCAGGCCTGGAGTCTTATACAACAGCGAGATGTGGGGCAGATTGGACAAAGTACAAGGAAGTTACAATAACTTCCTGTTTCATGGCAAATAAGGCATGGCAACATCGTTCAATGTAAACTCTCAATCTTCACAAGTAAGCGTCATCAAGGTATTGCGACTATGCTGACCAAATTTGAGAGGGATCTGTTCACCCTTCTGGGAGGAGTATGTCAAAGTATAAAGCATGTCATTTCCTGTTGTCAACTCATTTGTGAAACGTGCAACATGGCCACCATGCCATGACAATGCCATTCAATGAAAACTCACAATTTTCACCAGAAAGCATCATAGAGGTTTTTGGGCTTTGCAGTACATATTTGAGGTGGATCTGGTCAACTTGCTAGGGGGAGTACATCAAAATATAAAGCATGTATTTCCTGTTATCAGTAGGGGGCGCTATAACTATTAAAAAATTACATCTTGATGTGTTCAGGATGTGACACAGGTTTGGGGCAGATTTTACGTTCTACAGGGGAGTTACAAACAACTTCCTGTTACGTGGCAAAACATGGAAAATTAGCACCTAAATACGGTCACACATTTTGACAAGAACTCAAGCTTTTAAAAGCTTTGCATGTTCAAGGTCTTTAAATGGTACAGACAAAATTTAAAGTCAATCAGATTAAATCTCTAGGAGGAGTTTGTTAAAGTATGACTGCTGTAAATGGCCGACAACTGCCCCTAAATTTAACAGTAAATTCAAAATGGCCGACTTTCTGTTGGGTTTAGGTTATGGCTGCAGGAGACTGCTTTTGCACCGGCTAAGGATTTTAAAATATGTCTTTACAGGGAGACTCTTGAACAGGTCAGCTGTGTATAAAGAATTTTAACATTTCAGATGAATATCTGTGTTCATGTACAGTGCAAACCTTCCTGTTACATAAAGCAAAGTTAAGAGATTTTAATTTAGTACTCTTTGTTTTCAGGCTTTCTAAATGCTGTTGCAAATCACTGAATGAAGAAGGTAGCTGTTGCTAAAATTAAAGTTGACCTTCCCTGGATAACATTCCTCTTACACTGTGTCCTCTGTGTATTCACTATAATCTATGGAAAAGCACTCATGCTGTTCAGTAATGTTTGTTCTCTCGTAGCCCTCACCTGAGGTTCAACAATCTGACCCTGATCTCAACGCACGGTCTCCCCAGCGACTACAACCATGAGGACGTTGGATTTCTGTCCACAAGGTGAGGGAATATAACATCAGGCACTGAAATTGAAAAGCATGTTTTGGCATTGAATAATTTACAAGATGTACAGTATCTTCACATATTATAAGAACGTTCCAAAAACATCAAACGATTATTTTGTATGTAATTAAACTCAAGTTGTCATTTAAAACTACATTAATCTACATCAGAGTTTAATATGTTTCTACACCTCCTGCAGTCATACTTACAGCAGCAGAGACTTAGCTCAGCTCCCTCTGCATTCCTGCATCAACGTGGTGACTGGGAAGATGGTGGGCATCAACAGGAAGTCCAAACACGTCCTTGTATCTGGTTATGGGAAGGTGCTGTATGATCACCTCGTCCTCTGTACGGGCCTGCAGTACCAGGTGAGACAATGAGGCACTTTTCATCATCTCATCTGAATATTACAGTTTGCTTTAGATCAGCAGGTTTGTCAACGTAGGATTATCAAGTTGCCTCCTTGCAATGCAGACATTCCGTTGAATCAGTTCCACGACATCTTCAGAAAGTGTGTCCAATATTTTCAGTTTAATCTGTGGTAAAACTTTCAGTCGTCTCTATGGTAATCAGATACAATGCATACTACATAACGAAATACTCGTACAGGTGGGCATGACCTCTGGCTCACCTGGTAGAGTGTGTGACCCATTTAAGTTGAGTCCTTTGCAGCGGCAAGGGTTTAATTCCAACCCGCAGCCTCTCTCTATAGCTGTCCAATCAGTAAAGGCAACACAACAGACAAAAACTAATCTAAAAGGAAAGAAAAATTCTCCAGGTGCACAACATGAAATGAAAGTCAGTGTCAAATTATACTTTTTTTGTAGAAAATATGTAATTTCTGTTGTGCAACTCTCATCAAAAGTGTTGAGTGTTCTACCATAAATCAAGCTTTAGTGTGTAGATTGGAGTGTGACTGACCTGTGAGGTAATTGGTTTCCTGGCTATACTCAAGGAAACTACAAAAGAAGGAAAGGTCATGATGTTAATGATAGCATTAGAGTTATGCGTTGGTGCCAGACTTTGGTGCCATTTCTGTTGAAGTCGATGGGGTGAGCATGGCAAATCACGCTAAAGCCTCGGATATCTTTGTTGTTTCATCTTTGACTGAAAAGTCCTCCCACAAAACAAAAACAAACACACTATGTGATGCTTACTGACATTTTTTCCCTTTTAATTAGTCTACAAACAGATCATGGCTCTGTATGTCATTACGGGTGAAGAATGGGATCCCCATCTCCTCGTTTATGACCTGACATTTCAACAGCTTATTTATTACCTGGCAGAGTCATTGGCAATTTGTTGCACTGTTTACTAGCTAACGTTTGATATACTGGTTGATGTACAGTATAGTTCCGCCAATAGCTTGTTGATTTTACGCAACTTTATACCTCTACTCCACTACATCTCAGAGACAAGTATTTTAGTTTTTACTCCACTACATTTGTCTGACAGCTTTAGTTTCTTTTCTGATTACACTTTTCATATCCTTCCAGCATCATCACAAAGCTCAAAACAGGGTTGTTTCTCTGACATCATGAAAAGTTGACTTTTTAGAGATATTTGTTTCTCACAGGACAGCAACACTATTAACATATTCTTTTGTGATAGAATACGTATCGTTGCTGTAGATTAAACTACCCAACAGTGTATAAAGGAGTTAAAATGAGCACAACCTTGAACATTTACAGCAGTAAAATGCAACATACACATTAATACAGCAGTAAAATGAATCCAAAAACATCAGATTTTATGGGAAAAAAGACTGACAGGCAACATTTAACTGCACAATGACTACTTTACATTTTTGCTGATAATACTTACATATTTCTGCTTAAGTAAGGTTTTAAATGCAGGAGATTTACTTGTAGTGAAGTATTCTGACAATGTGGTATTTGTACTTTTGTTTAAGTTAAGACTGAGGCCAGTAGCAGTTCATACACAACATGGTAACAGCAAACAGCTGATGACGTTGGCAGTATCAGTATTCACTCTAGTTGCCATGCTGTTATATGATATATAGCTCTTAATCAAGATGTACATTTTCACATCTTATACGTAAGATGTTGGACCTCAGCTAATTAGCTAAAGTAACCATGTTACAAGCAAAATAAAAAATGCCAGTAAAAATATGCATAATAATTATAATGATTATCCCATTCATCTCTCCATTCATCTCTCCTGTCATATACTCATCTCATCTTCTGTGTGTCAGAAATGTGCATTATTACTCAAATTTGATGTAATGAGTCTGTGTGTCATGTGATGCTGCAGGTACCCTGTCCCTCTGGTCTGGATCTGAGCCAGCCCGTTACAAACAGCCAGCTGCAGGCGCAGTCCAGATACATCGAGCCCGTCCCATCCAACCTCTTCACCCTCAACAACCTCTACGACTGCATGGCTGCTCGCCGCTGGCTGTGTGCCAACTTCGTGGAGCTGGAGGGTAAGTGAACACACATACACATACACACACACTAAAACACACTCAAACACACACACACCGAACCTAAAATTAATCTGTAGTAGTATGTCATTACTCAGCCAGTCAGCGCTGAAGTGCCCCGGTATAATTAGCAGCTAATTAGCTGCAGAGAAATCTTTCATCTCTGTGAATCAGGTCGGCCTCTTCCATCCATTTTCCATTATCATATCACTCTCTGAGAGCCCGGCTTTTCAGAGCAGGAAAAAATACAGTGTCATTAAGCAAAATTAATCTGCTCTCTGAAGGAATTGTGCAGTGATCTAGAGTGAGGCTTTTATATATACTAATTAGTTGATCCCAGTCATAAAGGAAAACCATTAATAAATGCAAATTGCCATGGCAGACTCCAGCAGATACTGTGTTTATTTCCATATTTTAATAATAATAACAAAATGAGACAGAGTGAATGTAAATTTTTTGCATTAGACTAAAGCAGTTCTAGCTGTTTTGTCTCAGCGCACGGTTTAATGGATACTTTCTTTTCAACAAATCCCTGGAAAATACTCTCTAGTAGCGTTAGTCTTTTGATACTCTCTGACTTCCTGTCTGTGGTTCTCTGTTCCAAACCCATGGGTTCCTACTGAAGACATAAATGTTTTAAAATACAGAGTTTTTTTTGCAAACAAACAGGAGGAAATAGTAAATGTGCTGGGGACTATTTTCAGCTGCGTAATAATTAACATTTGGTGCTGTAGTGAGTATTTATTTGAAGCAGAAGGACGGTATATGTGGGACTGACTCATAATATATACAGTGTGTGTGGTCATGGTAATGAAGGAACATATCACCCAGTGCAACAGTGTGGCTCCTTGATGTGTTTTAATAGTTTTTGGACAACAATGGAGCTCGATGGCACAGAGGAAAAAGATTAATCAGGTTTTGATACACACACACATTACTTATTAGTGAATACATTCACCTTTGGTTTTGGTCATTTAATGGGATTTGTGGACAATAAGATAAATATAGAACATCACATCACATCACACTTAATTAATGTGACCATTGTAATAAAGTGAAAGCAGATGGAAATAAAAGTGCAGTGAAAAAAAAGCATTTGGTAAAAATTTGATGAGGAAGCGCTTCTTGGATCTGACAACAATGTGACACAAGACAATTGCTCCTGATGCACGGGGAGACAATTAATGGCCCTAAAAACAGGAAAGAAATTGCCCCAAAAAAGTCAAGGCACACTGGCTTATTAAGGTACACTGCCTTTATCATAGTAAGCACATAAACAAGTCCAGTTTATACATCAGTCTACCTCAGGACCGTGATCAAGCCTTTTTAATTTTTGTACCCCAACAAAACTGTGTGCCGAGACTTTAAGGGGACTCATTCACCCTTTTTAGTAGACACAGAAAAGAGCATGTTTCCTTAGGTAGTTCTAGTAGAAGGAGTCACCAGATGAAGTGATCAGTGGAATATAGATGTATTGATGAGACACTTTGTGTTCTACTGGACTTGATGGTTCAGTAGCAGCACAGCTCCTCTGGTTCAGCACCATGGACAGCGACACTGAACAGCAGCCAGGAAAACTCTGATCTACATTTACAGTAAATCTTAGTTTTTGTCATCTGTGTCTCACGATGGCCCTGATGCTCCAGGCTTTGTGTGTTAAGTGAAATATAATCAGTGAGAGATGATGAGGAGAACACACTCTCATTATATAGGAACTTGTACATTCTGTAAAATGTCAAGAGGCTTCTCTTAACAGTGAGCGTCACAGAATGGGTTCACTCAGGAAAAACCCAAATAGTGTTGTTGGGTTGTGTTTTTTTTTTAATTTTTAGAAATGAATGCTTCATGGTCACCATTCACTTCTTCTAAATTGTAAAGCTTTGTCTGTATTTGGAGTATTATGATTTTGTATGATAATATGGACTGTGCTTGCAATCCAAAGTGACTGCAAGAGCAGGGAAACTGGAAAAATGAACCTAAAAAAGGTTTTATTTTTCAGAAAAAAACGTTATTACTGTAGTAGCTTAGTAGGTAGTTGTTAAGTGTGTTTTTAGTACATAAAAAAATCTAAAACCTTTTTCATTATGTTTCACATGTATCTCATAAACAGAAATAAGAGATGATCATCTATCATTTGGAGATATTGTGTAGGACTATTAAATCTGGGACAGATGTTCATGTTGCCCTTAGGCTGAATATTACTGACCGTGGTGTTTCCTCTGACTTTTCCTTCAGCGCCACCAGGAAGTTCTCATTTGTGGTTTTAAGAGAAATGTCTCAGCAACAATTCCATGGGTTGTGATGAACTTTAGACATTTATGTTCCCCAGTGGATAAACTGTGATTACATTAATGATCCCTTAACTTTTCATCTTGTGCCATCATCATTTTCAACATTTTAATTTGTGCTGTTCAAGCCCAAGTAACTGCAAAACTGAATGAATTCCCATTAGCTGAACTTTTTGTTTGAGCTAAACTTTAACATCAGCATTTGCTAATAAGCATTGACGTACAGTCGCACAGAGCTGCTGGGTTATAGACTTGTAATCTTATTCATCACTACTGGCATTTAAATTATTACACTCCATGGCTGTATTGGTGGTCTGTATAGTATAACTCAAAGAATGAAATATAATCATACAGTAGCTTGTTTAGTTGATTGGCACTTCTTTCATGGCTCTTTTCCAAACAAATCAACCAGAGAAGAGTCAGCTTTAAATCAAATTTATCTACAGAAAAATGTATTCAAGTAAATTTATCTGCAGAAAAACTAATTTGGCTTTTGCTTTAACATAAGTACATTGTCTTTTTTCTGTTTTCAGCTGCTTGACGAGCAGCTGTCTAGAGTTGGGTCAATTTCCAGTTTTGCTGGTCCGGTCCCGCCAACAGTGTCACAGCATTAAATCCAACTTGTACTGCATTAGTTTTATGCAATATGCCAACATGATTAACATATACTGTCTGTTTATAAACGGACTAACAGAGTCACTGTTGTCTGACAGGTTGTGTGCAACTTACTCATGTTACCAATCCAAGGTTGGCAACTTGAGAGAGATGAAATTTCAGTAGAGATGGGAGAATGCGCACAGTGCATGTTGTGATTGTTATTTCACACTGGCAAAAGTCATGGTCAGAGACTATGTTTTCCGGTTGTCTGTGTTTCCCATTGTTATGAATTTCAGCAAATTTGGCACAAACGTCCACTTCAAAAATTTACTTATTCAATTTTGGTGGTCAGGGATCACTGTAACCCCACAAAACGCGAATTTGGCCATTACTCAAGAATTCATTTGCTAATTATGACAAAATTTCACACAAATTTCTAATAGGATAAAATGATGAAGTGATGACTTTTATATCCAAAAGATCAAATGTCACCATACATAACACATGACTTACATATAATTATTTCTGGCCATTACTCAACATCCTAACTAAGGAACAGAAGGAGAGACATGTATTTAGATACTAAATTGGTGAAACTATTTTTTTAGTTTTAGAATTTGTTGCTTGTTTGCAGCAACATCCATTTTGAAGCATTTCCCATAGTCATGACTCTGTGAGTCTGGACAGACATGGATGTAAACTGTAACTTGACCAGTCGGTGGAGGCATGCAACCATGAGACTATGGGCTCTAGTTTGGCAGACCGGGCGAGGCGGGGGCGCAGTGCACCTGCGCTTCGCCAACTGGGTGTGGCCAGGCGGATTTTGCAAGTTTGACACACCTTGCGCCTGGCGCAGCTACTCCTCTATCCCACCTCTGTCCCTCCTACCTGCGCAAGTCGGAAAGAGGGAGGAGAGAAGGCATGGAGTGGGTTTTACACACATCACACCAATCAAATGAGCCCCTCTCCTCGCCCTTAAATGCGCCGCATGAAGGCGTAATGAGAGTTTACTGAATTCGCCATGGCAGAAGAGAGCAGCAGCGTCAGACAGCCAAACTTCTCCCAGGAGGAAACTGATGTTTTGGTCCGGGAGGTCCAACCTCGCAGTGTCCGAATATACGGAACTGCGAGCAGACCTCCACGGGCTGATGATGCAAAGGTAGCCTGGGAGGAGGTCACCACAATTGTAAATCAATGTTGCGTTTCTCTCGTGCGCGCGTGCTCTCTCTTTCTCTCTCGCAGTCTCACTCTGTTTCTTTTCTTTTGACTTTTCTAAGATGACGGATGCTGAATATATACTCCCTATCTCATGCTGTGGCTGTTTGTGGTTGGCTGAGAGGGATGTGAACTCATTAGTTTGTAGCTGTGTTAATCAAATCAGGTTGGGTTTCCATTATGCGTGCCAAACGTGCCAAACGTGCCGATCCCCTTTGATCTGACATCAGATGTGACGGGACAGTCGATATAGAGATACATTTATGTGTTGATTGCAGATAGTTGCATTGAATAGTGGTTTTGTGGCTATTTATTGCATCGTTAATGTGCCTGATATTCTGGAAACCTGCCTGTGAGGTTTTGGTGACGTGTGCGCACTGTCCGCCGGTCAGCCAAACTTCGGCTTACACTGGCTGCGCTCCGCCTGAGCTGACAGTAGACGTGGTTTCAGCTGGCGAGCTTTTAGCGCACCTTTGGCGAAGCCTTTTGGCACAAAACTGTCACTGCGCCAAGCTGGATCTGTCGACACCTCCCCCTGCTGCGCTGCCACACCCATCTCAGCGCACCTCTGTCTGCCAAACTACCAAACTGAGCGCGCCTCAGGTTGTGCTGCTCGAAACTAGCTCTGCGCGGGGTTCGCCACCCTGTGCTGCACTGCGCCGGGAAACTAGAGCCCTATAATTCTCGTTTACTAGAAAGTTTGTGTGTTTTCAGGTTGCATGTCCATCCGTACATCCCATTCTCGTGAACGTGGTATCTCAGTAACACCTTGAGGGAAGTTTTTCAAATTTGGCACAAATGTCCACTTGGTCTCAACAATGAGGAAATTAGATTTTGGTGGTGATAAGTCAAAGGTTAAGGTCACTGTGACCTTGTCTGTTTCATTCTCTCAACAGGACTTTGGGGAAATTCCTTCATACTTCATACATTTTCATCTACTTCATACATCATGCAGTGTAAAGAGTGGCCATTATAGCCTGACACGTCTTACTATTACTCTGCTGATGTGTTCATGTTAATACTGATTGCTTTCTACACAACCCCTCTCTACTTCCTCCTTCTGTGTTAAGCTTTTCATATTTTTGATTCATTATATTAAGTCTTTCTCCATCATAGTGTCTCTCACTGAAACATGTTGAAGACACTCTGAATACTATGAACACTATGTTAATTGTTTCTTCCTTGTGTACCACTAGATAATGCCATCGTCTACGGAAACAGCATTGATGTGTTCACCACTGTGGAGACTTTGCTCAGCCTCGGCATCCAAGGACATCGTATCCATCTAGTCCTCCCACCGTCTGAACCTGGCATCTCCTGCTTCAGCGACCCTGACGTGGAGAAGACTATGGCGACAGCCCTGGAGAAGGCAGAGGTCCAGGTCCACCGTAACTGCCTGCTTGCCCAGATGAACAATGGAGAACACCCCGATCCCCTCACATCTGTGTCATTCACCACAGATGCTGAGCCCCTCCATCTGCAGTGTGGAGTAAGTCAAAGTTACACTGCTTACCCAGTCAGTTATCAGTTTTTACAAAAGAAAGTGTTCTCCAAACAATGGTGGGTAACTGGCCAGGGTGTCTGGTAGAGCTGAAAAGCTCACAAACAACAGACTGAATTCAGCAGCTTGTGGTTGTTGGTTGGGTGTTAATTTCCCTCCTGGAAGCAGACTGTGTTTGTCAAGCACAAAATGATTTTGGTGTGTTTCCCATTTTTATTGTTTCAGACAATAGTGGATTCTACTGTCTGGTTATGTGTTTTTGTTTGTTTGTTTGTTGTCATTGTAGGCTAAAATAGAGGCACCCAGCAGATGATACTCTGCAAGTACTGTTAAACTGTTCAGGATCCAAAACATTCAAAAATTTAGCTTGGCCTTTTTTTATTTTGGAGGAATGAAATATTTTGACACATTTGTTCAGCATCAAGGATACACACAGTGTGTTTTTGTGAGAAACACTAGATTTAAACAGTGTCATTTACAGGAGAACTCCACAGGGTACCATTAACTCCAATAATATACAAATTTAGTCCAGCTCCACTCATCTGATCATGATCACATGATCACACAGTTTCAGTTTGCTCAGAGTATTATGGATTCACAAGGTTTCGTCTTTCATCTGGGTTTTCAAAGAAAAAAATCATTAATCCAGTTGACAAAACAATCTCAACAAGGTCAAAAATTAACTGCCAACCTTAATTAATTTGTATATTCATACATACGCACATACCGAGACAAAGGTGTAGACATGAATGGACATGCCTGGAGAAGAACTTTAAATAACTGGACAACAAACTCCAAAATGACGCCCTTTCACTTGAGTGAAAATTACTCTGTCAGAATGTAAATCCAAAAAGTTTTCTTGCCTCCGGGTTTACTTCCACATTGTGCAGCCCACTGCACATGCTCATCTCTCCTGCTCAACTCATAGGCTTTACACTGGGAGTACCTCACTAATGAACACTTTTCTAGGCTCTGGAAAAGTTTAACAAAATAGAACACCTTCATGGTTTCAAAATGTATGCTACAGAGAGTAATAGTTAAATATGTTTGCAGCTGGAGGTGTCCTGTCAACAGATTTATAGTTCAGTCAGGAACACTTCAGTCAAAGAAACACCTCTCTGCCCTTCCACGCTCCTGCATGGAAATCTTAACACAGGGAGAACACCAGGAAAGACCCCGTGGGAACAGAACAGAGCAGCATCAATGACAAAGAGAAATGTCATTGATAAGTCAGACACAACATGAAAAGGAGGAGCTGGGGTGGAGGCAGGTTGCAAAGCAGCTTGCAGAGGAAGCAGCAGCAGTAGACAGGCCAGACCGGTTTAAATAAGGCACCCTGAATGAGATTTGCCAATTGGTTGCATAGAAAGGAATCATGTGATCTGTCAGCTGACTCCCTTCCATCAATCAGCTGCTCCATCAGTTGATTGGGCTGTTTGAGATCAGCTGATGTAGCTGGGATGTAAGCTGAGCTTGACATTGTGTCCTGCCTGAACTAACGCTATGCTCAATATGTCTCTTATAATGGAAGTCAATGGGGGAAATATTTTTTGGGGCAGGGGTATATTTTTGCTGCAGTCCCGTGACTGGCCACTGGGACAAATTAGTGGTAAGGCTATGTCTTGGCCAGAAATAGTGACTTGACTTCAGAGAGGGAAGTCAGCCAAGAGATTGTCCGGCCGTAAAACCACAACTTATTACTTTTAGGTTTGCTGTATGTAAAGATTTAACAAACGCCGTGGTTGGCGGAATTTGTTACTTTTGTACAGAGCCGGGGTAGCTGTTAACTCCTGCTCCAGCTAATTGCCCCCTGACTGTAGTTTCACATCTAACAGAGAGATATGCTATTGGTATTGATTTTCTCTTAAGGATGAGCACTAGGGAAGCTGAGCAGAAAATCACATTCACAACAAGGAAATAGTGGGGTTGTGGCAAATGTGATTTGTACCTTAGTTTATACTGATGAAAATCAGTATGAAAATCACAAGAAAACAGAAAATATACTGATTTCTTAATTTTCTCCCTTTCAGGTGTTCATTAATCTCTCCAATAAAGGAGTTGACTACAACGCCTTCGAGAGCATCAACAACTCCTTCCTGGTCTTTGACAGCAGACTTGTCATAAACACCACTTTCCAGACCAGTGATTCATCCATTTGTGGTGCCGGGCCTCTCACCAAATTCTCCCGTTGCTACTACGCAGATGAGTGGTCTCACGCCAACTTCAACTCCAAGGAAGTGGGCCGGGACCTAGCAGCTGTATTGCTGCCCCTATTTGACCCGACACTGGAACCCGAGGTCGAGGCTCCAGCTGAAATGGATCACCTCATACCGCAGTACAAACAGGCCAAGATTCAAGGTCAGATTTCAAGGCTGGAAAATATATTTAATGAGTTTCAAGGGTTGAGGAGTTTAGGAGTTTAACAGTTAAATCTGGAACCACTGTATCTGATTTCTTTCCTTCAGTTTTTATGTCTACAGTTCTTATAAAACAACTAGATGTTTTCGAATACACTTGACATAGTCCTGTAAGCTTCCATAAACAAGTTCAGGGAAGCGGTTTTGTGCGGTTCTTTAATGGACTAGGGTGATTAAACTGACTTTTATTTGCAAAATCAACCAGTTGGACTTCGTTCTTGAAGTCTTTTCTCTTTAAAACAAAAAAGTACTGTTTGGAAACACTTCTGATAAAGCATTAATCTCACTTTTTGTGTTGATTGTCCAAAACATGGCTATATGAAAAGAACTGGAAGCGCTGGAGCCAGGTCCCTGATTATTCCTGTTAAAGTTGCCCAGTGGCACATGAAACCAAAAAAGTTCAACTGCTGTGTATAAAATTACCTGGATGATCGGCACCGCTTCCGCAGTATGTGGCCCAAAGAGCAGGCCGACTAAGGGTTAGGGTTATGGGGATCAGGGTTAGGGTTAGGGGATCAGGGTTAGGAAGTTTAGGGTTAGGGGTAGAGGTTAGGGTTTCGTTCCAGCATCCGAGTGGGCTACTTCCAGTTTAGTACTCTGCTAACTTTAATGGAGATAAAATGATTCAATCGTACAGTTCTCCTAGACTTTCCGACTGTTAATTGACCAAATGGATCAAACTCTGATAGTAAAACAGGTCATTTAGCCGGGGTTGTGATGTGACACATTTAAAAAACTGTATTCACTAATTTACCAACATGGCTTTCACCATTTATGCCTATGGGAAAAAAATCTTTGACAGTTGTAATTGCACTGTTTGGCCACTGCAAAAATTGGCTCTAAAGCCTAGTGCACCTTCTGGTACAAAAAAGGTTTTGTAGTGCAGCATCTTCGTTACCTCATTATGGGGCTCTAAGCCATAATGGGCTCATTACTGTTCCCTGAGACAAGAGGGTAGAAAAAAACTCACCAGTACGTGATGTTTGGTATAAAGCGCAGATGTAGTTGCTTCATTTCTTCATGGTTGAAGACTAACTGGTTGGTTTCACTGATGCTTGTCTGTTTTTTTGGGACCTTAAAGGACCGTCTCCCACGCAGTGGATGACACACAATTGATGATTCAACCAGTAGAATGAATGAGACTTATAAAACCCTGGCACCCTAAAAGCACTCATCCCACTTGACTATTATATTAGATTTTCCAAGGATTTCATTCAATTTGCAACAGGCATGTTAATTACCATAGTTAAATATTTAATAGTTTTATCATAAAGACAAAATTCCTTCACATTCATCAGCAGATCTCAGGTGTCTATATGTTTTCAAGGTCCGTCAGCTTACCTCGATAGTCTGCTCCGTGTCCCTCCTCCTGTCTGTCCATGTTTTTGTCCCCTTTTATCTGGGAGAATTTGTGCTGCCAATATTTGTTCATTATGCTTTTGTGGAACATTTTCCAATCTTTCACCCACTGCCGATGTTATTGTGGCAGACACTCAAACCATAGCAGGGCGTAACAATGCCGCATTGTGCTGCTGTGTATTCACGGAGTAACCAAGGCCACTCCACAGGTTACATAAACACAACAGCCACTCCGCCTCGCCCTTCACGTAGAAATGAAACACACATGAACTTTTCAGAGAGATTTCAGTGTTCAGGGAGAGCAGAGATGCCATATTATTGCCCGCTATCTGAGTTCATTGCCTCAGCACTGTTCTCCTCCGTGGGTGGATGTTGACAGTGAAATGCATGTTATGATGTATTGCTGGTCCTAGTTTTGATGCCAGTGCATGTTTCAGGGCTGAAACAAATCCTATTCAATATTTTCTTCCAATAAAAACACTATGATCGATCTTTTAACTATGATATTGTAGATTTTCAGAGGCAGTATTTTTATATTTCATTATTGTCAACTAGGGCTGCAGCTAACAATTGTTTTTCTGATTATTTATTTAGTACACAACATGTAAGAGAACTGTAAAATGTCTGAGTAAATACAAGGTGGCATCTTCAAATTGTTGTTTTCAGACCAACTATTAAAATCCAAAGATATTTCATTTATTAACAATAAAAAAAGCAGCAAGCTCCAGCATCATCTTATTAACTCAATGATGGATTCCTGTGTTCTATTACAATGTGAATCATATGAACCACATCACATGCCAACCTTCATGATGTGTTTGTCCTCAGGTGGGAAACTGCCTGGAGGATACAACTACCTGCACATTACCAAACCGTCCGCCACCAACCTGACCAGCCCTTCTGTTAAACATGTAAGGTTATAAGGGAAGGAAACTAACAAACTGATGTATTGTTCTTTTTTTTTGTCTCTTAATTTGTGGACAAAAACGCAATCGTAGAATATTGCAGCCTCAACTTTTGACCCATCTTTTAAAGCTGTAATCACGCAGCAGATCTCCTGAACAACAACCAGTTCTCATTAACTTGTGTATCCATCCATGTACAGTTACAGGACAGAGGCATCGTGACAGGACGGGTTGAGACAGGAAACTATTTCTGTTTGCATCTTGACCGCTATGAGCTTGTGGAAGCGCTCACCTGTCTCTCCCTGAAGCCCCTCCCTGTCTCCAATTACTTGTGTCTGTACGGGAAACACCAGCAGCTGCTGGGCCAGCTGTCCACCCGCTACCACAAGGGCCTGATCTGCGACTTGTACAGGTGGGAGAGAGAACAGTTACTATGCTTTTGCACATTTCTACACAAGCTTTGAGGGGGGAAATCCACTTTTTTTCAGTTTTTCTAGAGTATAAAATATCAACAAAAAATCACCCTTAAATTCTATCAGTTGTAATAACACTGTCAGCTAATCACTGTCTTACGTAGTAAAACCTTGGACCAGTGTCACAAAGAGATTTTAGTCTTGCCTGTACTGTTAGGCCAGACCTATTTTGCTCTTTGATTATTATAATAACAAGTTAGATAGTTGGACAAAAAGACAGATTCATATTTCCATATTAACAATCACAAAACGGTGTCAAATTGTAAAAAGAGGAAAATAGCTAATAATATGTGGTTCATTAACAAAGTTTTGAAAGGAGGAGTAAGAAGGAAAAGAGTTTTTAGAGCCTGCAGGAAACTGTTGGAAATATACAGAAGTGAGGACATCGTCAATTCTTTTCATTTGCTAAAGAAAACTATCCTGACTGAGTGAGCAGAAGTACCAAGTCCTGACTGGGGAAGTCAGTTCAGTTAATTTTGCTTTCGATAGCCTGACACATATTAACAAGTAATGAACCAGCTCACTTTTTAGAAAGAAAAATGATGTGAAATACAAGAGACCTTTCCTTTCAGTCGGGCACTCCTTTGACTCAGTGAGCTTTAGGGCTGCATTTCAAAGCACTTTCCATTTAGATGTGGTGAAATTTTAACGCTTTGTGATGTAAATGTCTTGCCTTTGATTTTATTTTTTGTTGGCTTTGCTGACAGACAGACAGCTAGCCAGGTAAGAGACATGGTGCTCACTGCCCACCCTTCAGCCCGTACTGGTTAGCTAATGTTAGCCTTGGCTGCTCTGCACTGTGCACCAACTGGGTTGGGTTGAAGCAGCACCGCTCATTTGGCTATTACTGCTGGTAATGCTGTCCTGGTTGAGGGATGGCTTGGATGTGGAAACATTGTGCTCGCCCTCCGGTTTACCCCCAGGTCGCCCTGATGAGTAAGTGGCTTCATTTTGAGCCACGAAACCCCTTTAGCATTGTGACCTATGTTAGCACCACTAGCCATGCTGACACTGCTTAAGGGGCTAACTGTGAGGCTAACAATGCTAAAGGGGGTTTGCAGCTTAAAACTGAGCTGCGTACTCACCGGGGCAACCTGGGGGGAGACCGGAGGGTGGGCACAATATTTCCAAAACAACCACATTGGGTCTGGATGACGGTCACGGTAATCACCAAATTAGTGGCACTGCTAGCTCCCACTTGACCCAGTTGGTGCGCAGTGATGTAAACTGAAGAGTCACAAAATTTACTTACAGACCGACATGGGTCAAAAAATATCAGCTCTGCTGCGTGTCTGCACTCTGCTGATATTTAAAACGACTGATTTTTGTATTGTTATACACTTAACTGAATTTTCTGTCTTTGTAAGTGTTGAATTCCTCCAGAACGCTGCTGGAGTGAAAGGAGATGAGCAGATTAACCCGGTTGCTTGGTCAGCCATGTTTATTAGTTTGAAATTTGTGCAACAGAGGGATTAAAATGTCTGTTCTTCATCAGACTATTAGTGCAATTTAAGCCATAATCAAAGTCTGTCTTTGTGAAACCAGCCCCTGGGAATATGGTGAAATTGCTACAAAGAACTATGATGGGACAGAAAATGCAAAAACACAGGTTTCAAACTTATCTAAATCACTGAAACAAAACTGAAAATGGGCACTAAAAATGTTCGTAATAATCCCACATTGCACAGGAAAGTCTGTAAACTGTGATGGAGGTTTACAACAGACAGTTTGGGACATAATTTCACTGCAACCTGGGGTTTGTTGTTGCCAAAAGGAATGATGGAACAAACAATAAAAATAATACCATCTTCTACAGAAGTCTTTTATGAGCTTCAGTAACTCAGGAGGTGAACAAACATCTTATACAGACCTGCAGAAATGATTGGCATGTGTTGTTGTCAACAAAACAACAGCTTCCCCAAATTGATATTTTCTGCACTGTCATTGTGTTTTGTACAATGTTTCTCTCAGTTCATCCAGCTCCTGTAGTAGTACTGTTTCATTTATTCATTCAGGAACAATACATGTTGCTGTTTTTTCAGTTGTGGATATCTGATTTAAATGTCAAAATGCAACAGATGACAGGTGGTCGAGTTTTTTTGTTGGGTTTTTGTTTGTAAGAATAGCTGTTTTCAAAACCAACTTCTGTATAAGAACGAGACACTTTCACTGTTTCTGAAGCAACTTTGAGTTTGATAGAGGAAATGCTTTCAGGAAGCTGCAGGTCGTGAAACTTGTGTCTTTTGTCCTCATGCTGTCTGTGTGTTTGCTGGTGTGACTTTGCGGGGTGTGTGAGTGTGTGTGTGTGTGTGTGTGTGTGTGTGTGTGTGTGTGTGTGTTTGTCAAACAGCGGGTGACCTGCTTCTGAGGTTTCAACACAAATGACCCCCAGATATGGACGTCTATTGTCCCCCGCCTCCTAATCTGTTTATGCAGCTCCCCAATCTGTCTTTGTGGCCGGTCCGGGACGAGACAAAGCCAGAGCCTCCCCGCTGCAGAGACTGATTCCTCGTCACGCCGCTCACTCAGCTGACTTGTAAAGTCATTGTGGAGGCTGACGGAGCATCGTGAGCCGTTAAAATCATTGATTGACCGTGTGGCGGCTGGGGGTCTTTCAGCCAATACAGTTAGTGTGGCCTCTGGGTGTGTGTGTGTTAGTGTGTTTGGTTACTTCAAAGGTTTGCTGATATTTAAAGGGTCAGTTCACCCAAAAATACAAAGGTAGACAGTTTCTCATATATGTCTTCTGATGTCTGGCTCTGTAGATAAGCGGTTGTGGAAGAAGTACTTATACTAAAGTTAAAGTACCGATACCACGATGTAGAAATACTCCTTCCCAAGTAAAAGTCCTGCAATCAAAGTCCTACTTAAGTAAAAACACAGAGGTAAATGTACTTTAAGTATTAAAAGTGAAACACATGTTACTGTTGTAGCTGCTCAAGGTGGAGCTAGTTTTAACAACTTTCCAACCTAGAGGTCGGGCCCCTCCAAAGAGTCGCCGGATAAATCTGAGGGGTCCTGAGATGATTAATGGGAGAGGAAAGAGGGAGAAATTAAGTTCTGACACACAAATTTATCTTAATGCTTTTATTTATTTACTTATTTTTGGTAGAAAATGTCTCTTGGAACTCATTTGAAACATGACAAGGAGCTCTAAATGCTTTATTGTAATGAGTTACAAGCAAAACATTTGTGAATCACTGATTTAACCCCTAATAATGCAATTTATAATTTTATTATATGGATCTGGATCTGAATGGTAACTAGTAACTATAGCTGTAAAATAAATGTAGAGATGTTGCCTTTATTAAGGGGTCACAAGCCAGGCGGATTATGAGACAATGGGTCACTGGGCACAGATATACAAAAGGCCCCACACACAGGCTTTGTGGTGGTCTTGCCCCTTTTTGTCGTTGTTGTTGTCATTTTATGTCTCTTTGTCGTCGCATCTTTTTGTTGTTTTGTCTCTTGGTGGTAATCTTGTGTGTGATCATTTTGTGTCTCCTTGTGGTTATTTTGTGACTCTCTGTAGTCATTCTGTGTCTCTTTGAGGTCTTTCTGTGTCTCTTTGTCATTGTTTTGCATCTTTGTAATCTCTTTGCATCCCCTTTATGGAGTTTTTTTGTCTCTTTGTGTTCATTTTGAGTCTCTTCATGGATGGTACACATTAATTTGAGGGACATTTTGCAGGTGAACATCAGGGGGACCTCATCAGTGTTGAGAACTACTGATCTAAAGGGTGTTTTAGGGTTGTGTTTTTCCATTAGATGGAAACTCAACAGAGTAAAAACTCGACTCGGATCTCAGCAGTGGTAAAACAAAATAAAATTAAAAAAAGTGTGTATTAATGTGTGTTTGTGTCTCCTGCAGTTTCTTCAGACAGAGCTGGTGTTTGGCCATTTATCATGACAGATTCTCCGACTTTGAGCAGGAGCTTCAGCAGAACACCTCAACTACAGTGAGTGATCAACTGTTTTATCTGAGTCTGACCTCTTTCTTTCTTTCTTTCTTGCTTTCTTTCTTACTTCCTTCCTTCCTCCCCTCTTTCCAGGTGATTCAATGCCCCTCCACCTCACTTTGGGATGCTGCATCACCCTGTTGGGATTTACATTGCAATAATGACCCACTTGCTGTACATTCAAGTATATATAATAACTACTTTTAACCCACACAAACATGTTACTCTAATACCAAAACAGTGCAGTGCAGCATGTGTACGTTATAACCTCCACCTCTGTTTCCCTGCAGGACGATGAGTCCAGGCAGCAGCTGATGGAGGATGACTCAAATGTCCTTCCTCGGGACCCATTTAAAGATGCTGAGATTCGAGTAGCTCTGAGGAGCAGCGCTGTGAAATATCTGACCTACAACCAAAACCTGCTGCCTATGTTCGCCTACCCGGGACAGCTGTGACATCATAAGTGACGTCACCAGGTTAACAGATTTGTTTTTATACCCTGTTAAATGTTTTTAAAGTCATATTGTCATTGATAAGTGGCCTGTGTGTGTCTACCACATATGTTCAATGTATTTAATTTTTCATAAAATATTTGCGAACTTCTTGGTGCTTTGAGTGCCATCTAGTTCCATTATATTGGAGAGACAGCAGACGTCTCTTTGGCTGACATATATCTCCAGCACTCAGCAACTCACACCAAAACAATCTAGATTAATAAATAGCACTACAGGAAAGAAGGAAAATGTATTTTTGATGTAGGGGTGAACTTTCCCTTTAAACGACCTGTCAGCTCCCTACTTTGATGTTTATCTGAGTTGGGAAACTCCTTACCTAATCTGACTTAAATATTATGCACATTAAATCGTTTAATGCAAGCAAAATGAGAATTTCTGACACATCTGTTTTGTATTTCCACACACATCACATCCATAATGTCTCCACTGTATAACTGTGAGTATGACTCTGCAGCAGCGTGACCAATCACACGGCCCATATAGCGGTTGGAGATGAAAGCTTTTTGCAGGAGGAGGAGGAGGAGGAGGAGGGTGTCACTCTACAGCTGTATGCTAATGAGGCTGAGCTAAAGCCTGTCGGGAAAATAGCCGCACACACAACAACATATGTCCGCACCTACAAACAACCCGCAGGCTGAGAAAACACACACACACACACATACACACATACATTGCTGGTGTCCAAATATACACATATTATCAGATTCAGTCATGTTTAAAATGTTCTAATTACATAATACAGATAACCAGATTATCTTAAATTCTGTCATGTATAGGGACTTTTTAATCTCTTATCTTTTAAAAATAAGATAAAATATAATTCTAAGATACAATATAAAAAAGTATAAGATACTTATATTTTTAATATAATTACCAGGTTTACAGTGTATCTGTGGTATTTAGATGTACATATGGTAACTTTACCGCACTTAATGCTATTCTAATCTTTAATAATCTCACTGTAATGTTCTTATATTCTAATACTGCTGCTTTTAAGAGTGTCCTTCAAGATAAATAGACAGTTTATAGTGTTTTAAAGATGGTTTTTAATTTCCTGTGGTATTAGTGTTGATATAATATTCAACACAGTGACTTGTTTCCCTTTATGGTGTTAGGTTCTGGGTGATTAGTCGTATTTTGTTGTGTATATTTTACTTGTTTTAGCTGCACTATATTCCCAACTGGATTTCTTGGTTTTCACAAACAGTTGTCGTATATCAAGCAATATATATGACATATTTTGTTTATGTATTTTTGTCTTTAGTAATCAAATTAAATGTAAAAGTAACATTTTTTTCTTAAAATAGTGGAAAGACTTGCTGCTACACTGAGATTATTTCAACCTGTTTCTAATAAAGATCAACTTGTTTCATGAACTTTTCTATGAATAAGTGTCCTTATCTTGAAGGACAAGACCAAATGAGCCAACTAGAATCAAGAAAAATGACACTTAAGTTAATAAAATTCTTGAAATAATTTGTTTTTTATTAGAAACTGATTGAAACTGACTGGCTAATTGTTGAATCCAAGGACTCACTCATGGATACAGGTATCTGGAAAGATGGAGTAGAATGTTTTTTACTTAAGACAAACAATTTTGAAACGCAAACATATGAAAAATGAAGGGAAATAAGAGTTTTAAGCAGTTATAATGACATAATGGCAGCGCTGGTTTGATAATTGGTCGTATTTCAGCTCTAAGTTAGGACACAAGCTTTCAAAAATGTGACTAAATCCATGAGACTGATCCTGAGCCCAACAGTTAGACATTAACTGAAGCTCGCTGCTCTCCAAACACCCACGCTGATTCCTGCGTGCGCACAAACATTTATTTTATTTTAAACATGTCAGAGCTCGGCACCGACTCCTGTGACATCCCTCACGGCAGAGCACAGACTCATATCCGGCTGACCGGGTCACATCTGACCTGCAGGAATTGGGTTTGGTGTGTTTTAACTGGCAGATAATCTCGGTTTGCCCCATTTGGTGACACAGAAAGAGCGCACTGATTACGCACAGCACGCGCCGACGGTATCTGGGGGCCAGATTGCTTTTGGGGGCCCCCACTTCTTCTTCTCCCTTTTTTTCAACTGTGCAATTTCCTTTTCAATCACGACGGGTCTACAGCTTGCACAAGCGCAGCCATTGTGATGCAAAGCAGGAAACCCTCCTCTCGCTATTAATTATGTATGCGTAAAATGACGGATTCATATGTCCGGAGTTAACTGTCACGCCAGCGCACATGCTGCAGGGCCACGGTGGTTTGAAATGTTTGTTTGTTTGGCTATTTGACTTATGTAGCTGGCAGATTTTAACTCCATTGTTTTGTGCGTAAATGCGCTTTTCAAATCTGGTTTTGGATCTTTAGTTTTCCTGGAAAGTCTTAAATTCTAAAATATGAACACAATATATTGAGTGGTCCTAAAACAGTTCAGTTAAGTGTTATAACTCAGAATGTTGGAGCTGGTTTTGTGCTTTTTCTCCAAAGAAAAATGTGTCTGAAACCCGACCTCATTTTCACTTTCAAATTTCCTTCCGCTGCGGTTTCCGTCTCTGCAACCGAATTTGTTTGCAGTTCTACATTTTCCATTTTCCTGCTGTTGTTATCTTTTCCAATCTCTTCTTGACGTCGTTATGTGGACGGATGTCTCCTTTTCGGACAAATCAGAGTCCCCACCACCCAAAGGAGACACATAAAGCCGAGGCACGTGTAGATTTCTATACAAACTCATCAGACCGTAAAAGCAGGAGGCTCCTGGCGTGTGCCCGGGTCGAGACGAGGAGGAGGAGGAGGGGGAGGAGGAGAGAGTGTGTGTGGGGTGAGTGTGTGTATGGGGGGGGGATGAAATACAATAAAACCCTCAGGTACATCTGCTTTGCAATCTGCAAATCCTCCCTCCATCACCCCCTCCATCAGCCTCTCCATCCTCCCACACCCACTCCCCAAATCCACAGGGGACCTCGGCTCCTTCTGATTGGTCGGGGATGAGTCAACGAGGGGGGACGGGAACAATGTCATCATGTCGCCTTAAAAAGAGTGCAGCTATGTTGTGGTGAAAGCACCTCGGGAGGAGAACAGAGGATCAATAGCAGCAGGAAACAACAACAAAAAGACGCATCAGATGTTTCTGTCCGCCAGCGGCTGAAAGTGGATTTCTTCTCCCCGCAGCAGCGTCCAAAGTGCCTTCAGCTCTCCATCCAGCGCGAACATGCCGAGAGGATTTTTGGTGAAAAGGAACAAGAAAACCAACCCGGTGTCCTACCGGGTCCGCTCCGATGAAGAGGAAGCGGAGCAAACAGCTGCTGATGCGCCGCCGCTGTCCTCCTGCGCACCTCTCGCCTCCTTCCCGGTGCGCGCACAGACGCCGACGCCCACCTGCGGGGCGGTGGCCACGGTTCCGGAGCAGGTCGCCAGACCGGTGCAATTCGGGAACCCGGAGGCTGTGTACCAGGCGCTCTACAGCCCCACCCGCCCTGTCAGCCAGGACCATGACCGCTCCTACTTCGAGAGACGCTTCAACCTCGGATCACCAGTTTCCGCGGAGTCTTTCCCTACACCAGCAGCGCTCCCCGCTTTGGACCACCTCTTCGCCCCGGTGGACCTGAAAATCGGCTCCAGCAACAGCAGCCGCACCGAAACAAGCGCCACATCCACCGCGGCGCTCCCCACCGCTGGGACCAAACGGCCATCCAGCGACACCGAGCGCAAAGGCAAACCGTCATCCAAGAAAACCAAAGCTATCCGGAAACTGCACTTTGAGGATGATGTCACCACATCTCCGGTTCTCGGGCTCAAGATTAAAGAGGCTCCGGTGGACCAGAAGACACCCAAACCGCAGCCACCCGGAGGTGACAACATCCCGATGGGTGAATTCGTGTGTCAGCTGTGCCGGGAGGCGTACGCGGACCCGTTCGCTCTGGCGCAGCACAAGTGCTCCAGGATAGTCCGGGTTGAGTACAGGTGTCCCGAGTGTGACAAGGTGTTCAGCTGCCCGGCTAACCTCGCCTCGCACCGTCGCTGGCACAAACCGAAGCCGCAGAGCGGAGCTCCCGGTGTGCAACATTTGGAGAGCGACAAGGCGGCCGCGTGCGGTAAGACAGCGCCGGAAGAAGCTAAGGATTCTAGTGACAGGGACACACCCAGCCCCGGACCGTCCGAGTCCGGCTCAGATGAAGGACTGTATGATTGTAATCACTGTGGGAAAAAGTTTAAACGCCAAGCGTACCTGCGGAAGCACCTGGTGTCTCAGCACGGCTCCCCAAAACCGGCGGCGGAAGACGAGGACGCGCCGGTGTGCGAGCAGAGCGCGGCGCCGCTGAACCTGAGCTCCTCCACCTGCCACCCGTGTCCGGTCTGCGGGGAGAACTTTTCCAACAGAGGCAGCCAGGAGCGGCACATCCGCCTGCTGCACTCCTCACAAGTGTACCCGTGCAAATACTGCCCCGCCGTCTTTTACAGCTCCCCGGGACTCACCAGACACATCAACAAATGCCACCCGTCCGAGAACCGGCAGGTGATTCTGCTGCAGATGCCGCTCCGCCCCGCCTGCTGATCCGGGGCTGCTTTCACACTGTCAGATAACAACCAAGTCCAGCCTTGTTTCAGAAAGGATTTTAGGGTTACACTGCAAAAATACCAGTTTGTTTTTTAAATGTTGGCTCCTAAAAAGTACTTTTTTAAACCCGTGTGAAAAACATGGCACTTTGGTGAGAAGATGTAACTCTGTTTGACTTTACTGTGATGGGAGTGATTTATTTTCTTGTTTCTTATTTGGTTAAAAAATCACCAAATTCTAAACAGATCTCCTATTTTAACACACTGAACTCCAAATTTCTTAAACACTTCTAAAACAATGTGTCTCATTTTGCCTTATTTGGGGAATTTAATTCAAGTAAATGCACAAATCACATAAGAATACAGAGGAATTTGTCCTTGCATCACCATTTCCTGGCAGCTTTTGAGGTAAAAGAAGAAATGAAAGGGTATTTTTTGCAGTGTGACTCCTACAGTAACTTACATGCACCAATTTGTAGAGGTCAGAGGTCAGCCACTCACCTGCAGCTGGCAGGGATTCAGTGCCTTGCTCAAGGACACTTCAGCAGGTTCTGGGTGTGTGTTTGAACCCTGCCCTATAATGCCCCCCCATCTCTGACGTCATACTCTAAACACTTAAAGGTTAGACTGTTAATTTATTTTTCTAGCATCTCTACACAAGTGCTATTAGCTTCTAGACCTAAGAGAGGGGATGACCTGTAGCTGATAAAAAGCAGAATTCACAGGCCTGAGAAGACCTTATCTCATCACTCTGATTAGCTTTAACATAGCTTGTGGATCTGTGGATCAGTAGCTGTTGCCTGAAAACAAAAAAAGAGAGTAAAACTAGTGTAGCCGGTAATGCCTTTGGATTAGAAACTCCTGCTGTAAAACTGCCTTAAACTGATCTGATTGTCTTTTGATTACTTATTTATCACTGGCTGGGTACGATATGATTATTATTTTTTACAAAGCCTTCTGTATTACCATTATACAGTATATCAGACTCCTTTTCTTCTATTTATTTATGTATTTATTAAATTATTTGTGTAAATTATTGCTCTGTGTGCTCTGTGATCTGTTGCCGTGTTTTTCTTCATGATGTAGCCAAATTTATTTTCTTTAACTTATATGAAAACGGTGAGAGGAGGACGGTGTGTTCAAGTGACATTATAGCAATCAATGAGTTCTATCAGCCGCTCCTGAATAAATAATAATGAATGCAATCATTGATTTCACTTTGTATTTTTGTTTTTTGTTTTTTTGGTTTCTTTGTAACCATTGGCTCTTACACTGCTTTGGATGTTTCTGCAGTATTTTGCTAAATGTCCAAATATAATAAAAACCAAACTGAGAAACAGTTTTTATTCTGTGTGTCTTTTGGGTCGTTTTAATATAAAAATGTATTTGCAGAGGTGCTTTAAAAGATGGATTTTAACCCCAGATCAACACAAATGTTGTGTAAAAAGAACCAAATCTCTTACATGATACAAAACACCTTAATCTTGTACTTGGGTATTTCCACTTTATACCTTAACACAATTCAGAGGGAAATATTGTATGTTCACACAGCTATTGCTAGTTAAGTAAAAGATCTGAGTGCTTCTTCTGCCACTGCATGTTGTAAAGATCTCAGGGTCATTAAATTGCTGAATTCCCACAGATATCACTGAGGACATGACATCAGTGTCCTGAAAGACAGTTATGTCCCTGAAAGCAGCTCATGTGAAGGTATTTGAAGAGATGACGTCACATCTCGACATTTCTGGTGTCGAAATCCAGCAGAGTTTTCATTATTACTGATATCAGTGGGAAAAACAACAAGGTTTTGACACCCAAAATAAATTAGGATAAGTACAATATAACATATTACTTAACATATATATGCCACCAAGTCTTACATCTCAAAATTTCTCACCGTCACTAACAAATGTAATGTTTGTAAAGACGAAGAAAACACAAGAAAAGTTAAGCAATCTAGAGGAAGCTGCAGGGTTCATGTGCTCATCAAACAAATCATATAATTAAGGTAGAAACTAAGAATGTTTAAAAATCTTTAATGTTCATATCCATAAGCCCGAGCTTTCCTAAGATCTCCATCTTTTAAATTATTTATTTTTTAAATTAGTAAATTGCATTGCATTAAGTTTACCGTTAATAAGAACATGTATGTTATACACAGTGGTAGAAGAAGTATTTAGATCCATTACTTACTAATAACAATAGCAATGTCACACTGTAAAAAATACACTCTTATTTGTTAAAGACCTGCATTCAAAATTTTACTCAAGTTAAAAGGCATTCTGGAAAAAACTGTAAACAGAAGAAAACGCTGGAATATATAGAGAGATGTGCCTTCATACAGCAAAGTGGAAAAATTAGATAAAAATATCCAAGATGTAAAGGAATTATGTCACTTTAAAAAAACTGTTACCTGTTTGTGTGTAGCGAGAATTGGAGTTTGATCACGACACACTGTAAGAGTGAGCTGTGTGTGTACCAGAGGTCAGAGGTCACCTGCATCCTTTCTTCTCTTTCTCTTTCAGCTTTTCTATAAAAGATATACGGCTGCTGACGTCACAGATGTTCTCCTGTTCAGCATCGACTTTAGTGTTCATCATGTTCTGCTTAGAATTAATCCCCAAGCTATTTATAGACATTTAGAAAGACTACCTCTACAGTGATGCAAACTGGTCTGGTGTTGGTGCCCACTAATGCCATTTAAGTTGGTTAGGAGAAACAATCAAAATGAAATGGCTACATTCATAAAAAATATGTGACATAGCAACATGTAAAGGAAACTGACACAGCTGTACAGATTGTTATAAGTTGACTTACAAAAATAAGAGCTCTTAAATGTGCGTATTTCTTTGATTGACATGACACGTTAACTAGTCAGACATGTGTTCTCCTTATTGCCACTTGGGCATGTTGAACTTATTAACTTCTTCAGTGAACAAATAACCTTATTAATTGTTCTTTCCAAAAGTCACTTTAAAAATCAATAAAAACTCCACTGACTTTCTTAGTTTTAATCAGTTGTTGATTTATATTGAAAACTACTTCTGATGTCTTAAAATTAGCACTTACATAATAACCAAATGTGCTAGTTAATAATTCCATTTCATCATTTTGTCCTAAATAAATTAATAAGCTTTAAATGGAGTCCCAGTTACAGTGATTTTTAAAAGGCTTTTTACTTTTATTTGTTCCATTTACTGATGCGCCTCACATCTCAAATCAAACCTCACTTTTCATTTGTCTCCCGCATGGTGATCTCTGACTTACAACACCAAAAATGAAGACTTGAATAATTCAAATGCCAACTGTATGAAATAATCCATAAACTGGTTGACAAAATAATCTAAACACAAAGCCTCTTCAGTAGCTATGCATGAGTTTTTGGATCATATCACATGATCTTCATCAGCAGATGGACTTTGTCACTTACCAATGGAAATGTAGATGTTTAAATTTACATTTTCTTCTGAACACTTTCAGGACTCCTTGTTCATAAAGGCTTTAAAATTGAGACTGGAAGTTCATCTGATAAAATAATCTTATCAGAAAAAGAAGAAGCTCCCATGTGTTTTCAACAGCGGTGGAGTTCATGAATGTAGCAGAACAGTCACTGACAGAACAGAAATGTCGATTAAAAACGAACTCACACATTTTATTTTGTCGACTTTCTTGAGAGAAATTGCTGAGAATTTTCACAACATCTGGATGGAAACCTTTTGTCTCACCTCCACCTTAAATCCTCCATCACACCACCACACACACTCTGACCCTTTCTCTGACCCTGTCTCCAGCTTTTACCACACACACTCACTTTCACTACACACACACACATACACGCACACACACACAGCACACACACAGAGGCAGGCCATCAGTCTGCGTCTCCCTCCTTGTGTGGCTCTGACAGGTGTAAGCCAGCTGGGGAGCAGACTGCAGATAAGAGCTACAGATAACACACACACACACATACATACACACTGTCTCTTTAATGGACCACAGCAGCGTTTCCACAGAAATAAAGAGTCTGAACAAAAAGCAGCAGCTGTCGGAGCTGCAGGACTTTAACTGAACATCTGAACATGTTTCACAGCTTCAACAGTAAAAGTAATCGCTTTATTCAATAGTAGACATATTTCCTCTGTTATTTTTTTAAGATGTAGTGAAATGAATTGTGGTGTTCAGACATTCATGTTGCCCCATAAATTCCAAATACTTTGGTAATACTCTGACTTTTCCTCTGGCGCCACCATTAGGATGACATATGACTTTTTTTTATTATTATTAGTTTAGTGAAATATCTCAACTACTACCGAGTGGATCGACTGATGATTGATGAATTTCAGCAACGTTGGTGCTCCGTTAACATCTTCATCTAGTGCCATCATCAGGTCAACATTTCATTATGTCTAATAACTTAATTATGACCAACTACCTGCAGTGGCACCCTCCAATATTTTTACTAGGGGTGGCCAGATTGGGTCACTGAATTTTAACTAATATACTTTGGTTTCTTATATCTAATGTAAACTTAGCACATATAACATTCATTTTGAGTTCACAACAATCATGTTTTAATGTGTAATGTATCTGTATGTGTCAAGTGTTCTTTAAGGACGCATTCACACTGGCACTATTTGGTCCGCTTTAAACGAACCCTGGTCCACTTCCACAGATAGTTTGGTTTTTTGAAGTGGTGTGAACGCTCATTCGAACTCTGGTGCAGACCAAACGAGCAAAGCCTGGTCTGCTTGAAAACTGGGAGTCTCGGTTCACTTGCAAGCGAACCCTGGTGCGGTTTGCTTACAGTGGGAAATGCAAACGGACTATCCAGTGAACCAAAGAGAGGAAGTGACGTAGAGCGCAGTGCATTTTGGGTAGAAAAAAAACAAAGCCAACTGTGCGAACTGGGAGAGGCAGAGGTAAAAAAAAAAGAGAAAAAGTTGGAAAATTTTCTTGTGGAGTAGTGAGGAGGTGCAGGTGCTTACCCCAAGACTGCATAAATTTGGTGTTGCTCCACTGTTTTTGTGGTGACCAAGCTGGATTTCTGTTTTCGGTCCTGGCCAATCGATGAGCCGGGTTTTCGTCTTCCTCATGCTTTTTTCTTCCTGGCCTGTGGTCGTTTTAGGCAATACTGCCCCCAAACGAGCAGCTGTTGTAACTGTGTGATGTTGTCCAGGCGGGTTGGTCTGCTTTAAAAAGTGCAATGTGAAAGTGAACCGAACCAAATGAAGGTGTGAAGTTTTTCGGCATTCACCACCCAATCAAATTGAGTCCCCCGGACTATCCTGGTGTGAATGCATCCTAAACAGACTGATTGTCCTTTTCCTTAAAAAGACAAACATACAGCTTTAATTTGAAGGAGTACATTGATTGTAGGGAACAAAACATTTACTGGGACCAAGGCTTCTGAAGTTTAAGGGAGACTCGTGGACACCCATAGAACCCATTTTCATTCGGATGTCTTGAGGTGAGAGTTCAAGGGAACCCTTTGGAAATGGCAATGCAGTCATTTCCTCGTCAAAATTTGGCCTTACTTTCATGTGCTATTTAGCCCTCTTCACGAAAAGCTATGCCTACATGGTTGGTACCAGTGGATGTAATTTTTTGGTTACAGATATTGTGATAATATCATTATTGTAAATTCTTGTGGTAAAAAATCTGATATTGGGCCAGCCCCAGTCCCAAAACATGGTTGATGGGGTTGAGTTCAGGGCACTGTGCAGACTAGTCAAGTTCTTCCACACCAAACGGGGAAAACCATTTCTTTATGGGAGCATCAGTTCAGATCAGATCAGATCAGCTGTTTTGTATGGCAATGGCAGATATTTAGTTTGGGTGACCTGTTGCTCATTTGTAGAGGAAGTGCAGATCTGCCTCCAGTCCAAGCCCTGTCCTTTAAAGGAGACAACAGAGCTTGTGAAATTAAACTCCTTTAAATTTTGCTTTATTAGGTTGAATCAATGCTGGGATAGAAAGGAGAAATAGATTATCTATGTAAAACTGTTATGGATGATTCCTCTAACGTCTCCTTGTGTCACAGATGTGGTCAGTCAGTGTTAAAGTGTTTCTGTTGGTGGTGGCTTTGTTCTTTGTGCTGTTGTTGTGTGTTTTCTTCACTTGTTATCGGACATGAAAGCGACACGATGTGATTCAATTTGTCTGGTTTAATCAGACATCACTGCTGTCTAATGCTGTTAGCCCAGGACAGGGAGTAATGTTACACCCTGCGTGTGTGAGTGTGTGTGTCTACGTACATATAAGGGATAAACAGCATCATTTGTGGACTTTAAGGCTTCTATTTTTGTATTTTATTGTTACTCTGATGAAAAGTCCAACAAAACA